TAAACAACATTTAAGCATCCTAGGCAAAGCTCTTGCAATTTATTTATTTTCTACCAATTGTGAGTCAATTGTTGCATCATAGTGTATAACAAACTCCTACCTCAAGCATTAGAGCGCACCTTAATTATTTTCTCTCCTGCAAGTGCTTCAACTCTGGAAGGCACCACAGACTCCGTTACTTGATTTCCAAGACCAAGTTGGCCGCGCTTCGACTTTCCCCAAACCCACAAAGAACCATCATCTCCAATGGCCGCAGAAACAACACCAGATGCAAATGCAGCACAAACATTTACTTGATCCAACCCTTCTACTTTCTTTGGTACATTCCATGAATCTCTGCCACCAATAACAAAAGCTTAACATGCAGTAACTTACCATTTCATAATACACATCAAAACATGACAGGAAATAGTCAAAGAAAAACTCTAAAAAATCCCATAATGTTTCATTAGCGAGATAACTATCAACAACTCCATTAAAAAGAGGCTTCTCATTATAACCCAAAAACAAAAACACAAAAAATGCTTTTTCATGGTTAATCTTGGCCATGCATACATACAAAACATATAAGTACCCCGAAGAAACTATTGACTCAAAAATAGGACCACGGTTATGAATTAGCACAAGACCCCTTTCGATGCAACACAAAAGAAATACATATGGAAAGGGCTAAAAAAGGGTTAACTAGTGCTGTTTCTTAGAGCTCGAAGAAGCTGAAAAGCTGAAAGCTTTACCTGGGAGAAGGGAGACCACGGCCGAGCTGGGCTTCAAGGTCTCGGCCCCAAGCCCAAAGCTGGCCTTGGGAAGTCACAGCAAGCGAGTGGTAGTGTCCGGCGGTGACGCTGGTGACATCAGAAGGCAGAGAAGGGACCCGAATAGGCTCGTAAGCGTCCACACCAAGGCCCATGAGGGAAGTGGGCAAACCCAGAGCTCCATGGCTTCCGTCTCCAAAGCTCATCACAGCGCCGGTTGTGCTGCTCATACATCTCTGTAACCTTTGGATGATCACGTTCAATGCCCGAGGCCCCTTCACCAGCGATCCCACTCCTGGCATCGATTACAAATTTCATTTCTCAATCTCAATTAACTGCTGATTTTGTTCTGCAATTCTGTTAGCCAAATTTGGGCTGTTTTAGCCCAAGGGTCGTGTTGTTGACACAGTACTTGTTCATCCTGGTCCATGGGCCAATAGCACCATTAAACAAGGAGCTCAGACTGAAACATCAAATTATGATTGGATTGTAAGAAAGAATAACTCCTAGATGTTGGGCTTGAGCAATAGGAGCATCGAGCTGGTCCAACCCACTAACAAAACTGGATTGAGCCAGATGACTGGTTTTATCTTAAGGCCACTCAAAACAACAGAATATCCGAATTTCTATTTTGGGATACTTGGGCTTGGCGGGTGGTGGCACCCATTGACTCTGATCTGATTAACAATCACAGAAGATATATGGAGCGGAACCAGAGAGTCACACAAACCCACCCACTCGAAGAACATGGCGATGGTTTCTATGCTCATTTCACTCCCTACCCTGACTACTCCAAACTCCAGCCGAGTCAACCGGTGGGTTAATTTCTCTCATTCAACTCAGTAACTCATCTGCTACTTGTGAAACTCACAAAACACACCCACACACAGGTATTGGCAAGCACCAAAAAGGTCGTCTGCAATGGCTCTTGCAAGTGCCAACACAGAGATTGCTACTACAGGAGTGAAATTTGCAGAGGGTGAAGAAAAGTTACCCAAGGTCGTTTTGACTAGCGCTGGTGGCAGGTACATTGGATTGATTTTGTGCGTTGTTGCTGAATTCACATATAAAAATGAAAGATCGACTCTTTGATTGTGAATTTGTGAATTTGTTTTTGCAGTGAGGCAGATATATATCTGTTTGGTGGTTGCATTACGTCTTGGAAAGTTCCAAATGGAAGGGACCTCCTTTTTGTTCGACCTGATGCTGTCTTCAATAAGAAAAAACCAATCAGGTTGTTTTGGATTTCGTGGGTTCATTTTCTTGACTTTCAATTTTGAAAGTAATTTGCTTTATCTGTTTTTGTTTAGATTTGAGCCATACAAACCAATATGCTTCTTGCTATATCTGTTGGGTTTAAGCTACCGGTTGATTTTGTAATGTGTTCTAAAACGAGAACAATTTAAATGATCATTTCATTCACAAACATCACTTGGTTTTGGTTTAGTTTGGAAATATGGTTACTTGCCTTTGTGTTTGTATGTTTTAAGCGTCTGAGTTCCTTTGAATAGTCATTTTGCCTGAGAGCTTGGGATTTTCGTCAGATACTGACTATTCTCTCTTGGGATAGTGGAGGCGTTCCACATTGTTTTCCACAGTTTGGACCAGGCGCAATTCAGCAGGTACGGTACTCTATTTTTGTTTCCAAATCCACCAGCATTGTGGCCTTTAATTGTATCTTTGATTTTACGAGCTCAATTGATTTCAGTGGTCTATCAGATACATCATTCTGACGAGTGCAAGCAAATTAAAAACCTAAACACTTAAACCCCGAGCAATGGCAATTGATGGATATTTTTATATATAGACTACGAGGATTTGAAGTTTGATGATAGGTTTGATAGATTTCTTGATAAAATTTACAAAATCACACTGCTTAATGTGATATGGTGGTAGTGAGTCTACTGACATTGTTGCCGCCATTAAGGATTCCCGTCTGGAGATCCAGATCTTTGTTATGGCTGCATGATGTATATATGACTGCATTATCAGCCTTCTGCTATTGTACTGAGGCTTGGAGATGTTTCTTCAATTAATAGCATGGATTTGCAAGAAACCTGGACTGGTCTGTCATTGATTCTGAAAATGTGCAAGGAGATCCTGCCATAACTTTAGAACTAAAGGATGGTGAATACAGTCGTTCCATGTGGGATTTCAGCTTTCAAGCTTTGTACAAGGTCAGTTGCAGATATCTCTCTATAAAAATGATGCTTGTCTAGCTCACACTGGTAATTCACTGCCACCTTGGTGTGCACCATGTTCTACACAACAATACTGTATTAAACTACATGCACAATATTGAATTCTGCATTATGTGGATTAGGTAACAAAACTTCTAATGCGTTCCAATGATTGCAGGTCACTTTGCAAACAAAGAGCCTTTCCACCGAACTTGTAATTAAAAATACGGACAGCAAGCCATTTTCATTCAGCACCGCATTGCACACATACTTCCACGTAAGTATAATATTCTCCCTCAGTGATTCAATTGTCATCCTGGCATAACGAAATTAGCAGTGTTGAGGACTCGTTGGAATTGTTAGAAGAATTGAATGTGGAAGTTAATGTAATAGAATAAAGATAAGGAGAAAATAATGACTTCAAAAGTCTGAAAATACTAGGAATCATACATCCATGTGCACAGATTTTGAAATTGATTGCATTAAGTAGTGTTGAAAAATGATTGTAAATCATTAACATTAGCCTTTATCATGCAGGCTTCTGCACAAGGGGCATCGGTTAAAGGTTTGAAAGGCTGCAAAACACTGAATAAAGATCCTGACCCCAAGAATCCATTGGAGGGCACGGAAGAAAGGCCTGTATCATTTTCATGAAATGCTTCTATAACATGGCAAAAGCAAAATGAATTCAATTCTTTATTTTTCAGTTTATTGGCTGGGTAAATGAGGTTAATGGGGCAGTGGGTTTTCATAATTAAAATGCTTTTATCATAGCTTATTCACTTTTCTGCAACATCTTTAGAAACCCTTTTGGCACAGATTGCTAGGCATTTCTGATTGTTATCTTAATGACACAGGGATGGGGTCACTTTTCCTGGATTCGTGGATTGCGTATACCTGGAAGCCCCTAATGAGTTGCGTCTTGATAATGGCTTGGGTGACATAATATCTATCAAGAACACTAAGTGAGTGTAAATCTCTGTTTCACAAGTTTAGGTAAGATTTTATCAAAATAACTCTGTTCCACATGCTTGACTCCCCTGTTCTTTTTTCTCGTGTAGTTGGACAGATGCTGTTTTGTGGAACCCCTATCTGACGATGGAAGCATCCTACAAAGATTTTGTTTGTGTGGAAAATGCGAAGGTAATAACTTCCCTGTTTCTTCAATTGTGACTATTTGAACTTGACCAAAACAGGTTTGTCTATCTAATACTGCCGATTCCGGATATAATCGAGACAGTGTGTATACTTATCAGACTGCTAAATTAATTCTATTTCTGCTAACTGTAAGATGCCATGTTCATTTCAGATTGGAAACGTCCAGCTGGAGCCTGGTCATACTTGGACTGCTACACAGCATCTTAGCATCAATTGAAGAGTGGCTGATCACTGTTATTCAATTTTGTAGAAATAATGTATCATCTATTTTCCTTTTGAGTCTTTTATTTGGTGGTATACAAAGCTTTGAAGCTACAAAACAAGTAAAGCTTACTAATAATGGGTGATCCTGTATATGCTTTCATTCTGAATATAGTGTTTCCTCTCTCTCTCTCTCTCTCTCTCTCTCTCTCAATTTGCACTAGCCAGCTCCAGCTCCTCAATTTGCTACTGGATTGCTGTTAAACAAATTTCGACCAGCCTAGTTCCCAAGCACAGTTATCGATTTTATAATTTCAATGAGCTGCATATAAATTACTCAAAATCCAATTCCGAATCCCGAACAAATGGGAAATTGACAGAGTAGCAAAGATGCAGCATTGTCATGTTCATGCACATAGGAAGAAACCAAATAAACTGAAGGGAAAAATAACTAACCAAAACCTAGTTTGAAATTCTCAACTCAATTAAGCAAATCTAGTTCGTTAACATTCTCTGTCGATTAACAGAACCTCAAAATGCACAAAGAGAAGTACTCTTCTCAACCAACAAGCAACAGCCAATAAAGCGGTAGATAAACTACTCTATGAGCTCAGAAAGCTCAGGAAATATTCACAGACCCCTAAAATCCCTCAACACTATCATCTACTTCAGCTTTTAGACCCCATAAAAAATTCTGACTCTTTTCTGTTCAAGAAGCCAGCGTCGAAATGACACAAACCAGAAGTATAATCAGAACCACAGCCCAAACCCAATAAACCCATTTGTTACTCTTCTTCTTCATCTGGCTGGCATAGTAAAGGCTGTTTGTCCCTCCATTGATAAAATAACTTGCATTGGCCACATTCTCTTCAATATTGTCAATGTCTTCACCTTGTGCCTCAACCAGAACAGCCATGTCAAGAAACACCTGATGAAGCTTGTTCAGGCTTCTCTGGATATCCATGACTGCCTCATGTCTAACTTTGTTCCCCATATCCAATTCCGTCTTCCCCTCAAACAATTCAACTTTCAAACTTCCAGAAATCATCTTTTCAATCATCTCATCAGACGGCAACTCACCGATTGCGCTGTAGTACCTCCTCTTGAGATCTTCCTTGTGATCTGCAACAATCTTTTCTCTCAAAGATTGGAAATTGTCCATCATATCCCTAAGCTTGACTCTCAAGCCACAAGTGATGGACATTCTGGTCCGGTCAACAGTGCTTCCTTCCTTATACGCATCCGAAAATTTTCTACTGATCACATTGGACTTATCAAGCGCTTCAAGCCTTGCCTTGACAATCCTCGCCTTTCGAAGCACTGCCACCATATCAGATTCCATCCGGTCTCTAAGCCCGCGAAGGATCTTGGCACTGTGGGTCGACTTTGCCTCTTCATTCAGGCTCTGAAGATCATACAAGAGATTGGTGATCTCTTCCATATCGCTCTTGATTGGTGTGACTTCTTGGAAAAACTGAGAGAGGTTTTCTTGGTCTGACGGGTTGAGTTGGCCTTGGCCTGCTTCAACATCAAGATCGGCTTCGAGGTCCTTCTGTGCCTGTTTCTTCAATTCCGCATAACTTAAGAACGATTTGGTCATCAAATCATTCATCTTTGCTAAGAATTTGCAATACCCGCCTGCAAAAAAATTAGAAAGAATTGAAATTTGGACAGAAATGCGCTCGTTGACAAAACAAACAATATGAAAATGAAAACCCAGCAGAAACCGAAGAGAGATTCACTGGGTATATTACTCTCTCAAATTCAAGAACCGAATCTTCTTCTCAAGAACACAACACTTCTTTGTTACTCTGCTCCAAGAGAACTGAATTTCGCACATGAAAATGAGACAGAAATTGAAAAAAAACTAATCAACGAGAACCAAAAACCATGTAGAAACCACAAAAACATACAAAACCAATTTCATAAAACTTTGCAGGTTCAAGGTTTGAGGCCTATCAGAGAACAAGAATTAAAGAAAGAAACGAAGAAATAAAAAGTGGGGTTTCGTGAAAACCTTGAAGAACTTTGATGGCTCTGTTTCAGTCGCCGACTGTTACTTTCTTATCACTGTCACTGTAATTTTGACAGTGGGGTTTTGGAAGAAAATGTAATCCAAGAACATAGAAGAAGAAACTCTCCGATGAATGTGCGAGAGAGAGTGTGTGAGAGGAGGGATCGCAATCTTTTGGGTTGGTTTTCTTAGTGTAACCGCTTAAAATTTAAATTGCCGTTGACGATATATAGCCGTTAATATTTGTTCTTTTGGAAGGGCGGTGGACATGGACGACGCCGTTACTGAGGTGTTAGTTAAAACCGTTTTTCTTATTTGAATCAATTTTTTTTTAATCTTTATCCATTTGTAGAAGAACGTTATATAAAAGAAAGTACGACTTTGGTTAAGCTAAAAAGAAAAAAACTAAATACACCTTTGTTTTTTTTCGTTTTTCCGCCAGAAAATTACACATTTGTTTAAGCTCTACTATACGGGAAAAATAGAATTGAAGAAAAAAAATATATTAAAAAAACTTTTATAAGGGGTTTACTAAAAATCCAAACAAAGAAATAAGCCAGCCGAACAAAAAAAAACAAAAAGCAGAACAATGAAATAAGCCACTGAGTTTTGATGGTACATATTTTCATGGTCAAGAATTATAAGAAGTGCCATGAAAAGGGTTAGTGTGAAACACATTCATTTTGCAGAGACAACTTGAAGCCAAGGACGTGAACTGAGGGAATTTGAACCTTACAGGAGAAACTCTGAAGCAAATTGAATTTGTTCGTATAGCCGCTTAAAATTTTCGAAAAAATTTAAAAGGTATAGCCGCGCGGCTATACACTTTAAATTAAGAGTAAATACGTCTCCCAATTAGGAAATGCATTAAACCATATCAGATACGTTCCCCCAAAAAAAAAAAGTTACGGTTAATGGGTAAATTGGTACAGGGAAAATAATTGGATAAATATGATTGCAATAAGTTATTAAAAAATAATACGTAAATCACTATCACAATTTTACATACAATCACACCAATTTATGAAAGATTGTGATAGAATTTTAATTTGTATGAATATAAATCCAATTAAAATATGCAATAATAATTAATATTTAATAATTATGTGGTAGAATAATATTAAAAAGTGCCCGGAACTCGTCTAAAAATATTTTATTAATTTCTCAAGTGGAGATTATAACTTAAGATTGCTACAAAGACAAAATCTTATACTTGGATAGTTTCCAGAAACATTTTTCAGAAGTAAGGGCTAGGTTTACACCGGCTGTTGATTCTTCGCCTTCTCCACTTCAAGGCTCCTTAACGTTGTTGAACTAAGCTTATCTCCACTAGATGCTTCAGAAACTAGATCTACAACTTCAATCTGCACAAGATCCACAATTAAGGACTAAGCATCGTAAAGGTTTTCGAAGTAAAATTAAAAGAAGTCAACTTTTGGTAGAGAAAAGGATCAAATGCACAGCTACCAACTCAAACCTTAAGTTGTGAAAGGCCTCTGTCCGCTCTCTTCTTATTAACAGACAGTCCACCGGGCAAAGTCTCCTTGCTGCCAGAAACCAAATCTAGAAAATTAGTGAAGAAGTAACACTCTCTCACCGCTGCGAGGGAGACTCAATAATGAGTTTTATGTCGTATGCAAGCTGAGGTAATTCAACTTATTCCCTTTTTAAAAGGAAAATCAACTCGGGCAGATCAAAGCCAGACTGATTAGGTTTGAACATTAAACCAGGTGATGATCTGCACCAAAACTCCAAAGTAACACATGAACCTCAAGAGTCAAAGGGAGGACAAGCATATCAAGCTTTGCATCTAAATGTTGATGAAGTGCTACTGGGCAACATTATCAGAGAATTAAGAAGACTCAAAGAACGGATGTAAATCTGAAACAAACCTGACAACAATTGCCTCCAAACTTTCATCAACTATTGAGGGGCCATAGGGATCCGTAATAGGTTCAACTTGCACTGCCAGCCCCTGCTTGATAGACTGCAAACATTGGCGGAAATTGAGAACTGAAAGTATCATTATACAACATAAGATAAGAACACGTTTTTTATGGAACAACCAAGCCGCAGCAAAACCATACAGAAATTATTAAATGCATTTCCCCTGATATAGCAAGGTTGGTGTTCCAGGTGTGTCACCGCCTAGTCCAGTTTCAGTAACCTTTAACAAAATGAAATACTATCAAAGGCCACCTGCTGAATCTAGAGACCCAAGTAGATGGGTATGAGCGTGAACATGGTGGTGGAACACATGAACCTATTTCAAACACACAACCTCAGCTACAAAAGAATGAGCTGCATTGCTGGCATTTGGATAGATGATTCAAAATGAGTGATAAAGAACAACTCAGTTGCAATTGCTTGCATCAAATGCTCAAAAAAATGATTCAACTAGCAGAATTCACATGGGCATTAGTAGTACTTCTGAAATATCATTAAACCATTTCTACTAAAAATGCAAATCCAAAATCTCTTCTTTTAGAAACAGTATTCCAGTCGCAATGTAAACAATTTCCTTGAACAGAATACCTTGATGTAATTTTCAACATTATGCCTCCTTTCCTCAATGGGTTGTATCAAATCAGCAAACTGCCAGAATGGGAAGAAAAATCACAACATTAATATCAAATCCACTTATCAACTAACTAAACTGTCTTCCAAATTACTAGTTTAGCACTTACATTAACTTTACAACTATTCTGGAAAATCATTATCCACTAAAATTTATTAAAATTAAAATTAAATCCAAAAAACTTGTGAAAATCTGAATGATGATCGAAAAAAAAAGAACCTGTTTTTTGGTCAACATGGGTCCGTCGCATAGTCCAACCACAATTCGATCCCTTGCCAGCTCCGCCGCTGCCTGGTTCCATTTCCACCATACCATTAAAATTTTCATAATAGAATTTTTAGCATCTTAAAATGCACAAACCCAAACAAAAGAAAATGAAGGAGAAAGAAACCTTGAGAAAAAGGCGATGGCCATCGTGTAATCGGTCAAAGGTGCCGCCAAGAACCACGGCTCCATATGTATTCGGTGGAGAGAGCTTGGAATTCACCGGCGAATCCTCCAAAGTCGCCATTTTGACGCAGGAGTTTAAACTGGGAAGTGGGTTTGGTGTGGTAGTAGTTAGAGAATGCAAAGAAAGTTTTTTAATTTCTTTTCCTTTGGTACAAAACGAAAAATCAATGCTTAAAAATCATCGCTTTTTGTATTTTTTTTGGGGTATGAAATGACAAATCAACACTGAAAAACCAGTACCTTTTTGGCTTAGAAAACTTGTTAAAAAAACAATACTTCGAGTACAATGAACCTGGACGTTTTACTAATCAAAGAGCTTGAAGCTTTCCCTAGTTGCAATTATTTGCTCGGTGGAGAGAAAATACAAACAGCTTAGAAACATAAAACATGGTATTCAAATCATCCTGAATTTCCTCGGCACCCAAACCAAATCCAAGTGAAACCAATAGAATTATAAATTAAAAGCTAAAATAAAGCCGAACAAAATATCAACATTGATTCAAGAATATGAACAAACAAACAAAAACGTTTCAAACTTGAGGGGGGGAGAGAGAGAGAGAGACGAGAACTGATCTGTGAGTTGAGAGTGGTATTCTGAGACGTAAGAATCTACGATGCTTTTAATGCTTTGAAGTTGAACTTTTTCTCCTATGTATGGGGCTGAGCAAGTGTTCCGTCTCTCTCTGAAATTGAATGGTTCCTTAGTTTTCAACGTTCGCTTTCTATATGCCAACTGTGGCTAACTTTGGCAAAAAATGCAACCAACTCAACTAAGAAATAAATTTTGAACTTTTCCTCCGACCTAAGCCGACCTCACCGCATCCGCACAAGTCTAAGAGAACTAAAATTAAAGGAATTTGGACACAATTTCTCAGATTTAATGAAGATAACATCAAAATTTACAATGAAAAAGACGTAGAATGAAGCTTTACGCAGCAATTTCTTCAGGATGAGGCTTCCTTCTTTCACTTTCCCATAGAAATTGGATGGTGTGAACTTGTGACGGTCTGCCTTGCCCGCCATTTTCATCCTGTAGTTTTTACATTTTAGGGCTCCATTCACGAGTGGGTCATTTTTCTTTTCTCTGGGCTTTCGGGTATGGGTGGGCCTTTTGTTGTTTCTCCTAATTAATTATCTTTTAAAATTTGAGAAATAAAAAGTAAAAAATTTAATTAATTAATACTACCAAGTAATTCAAAAAACTTCTTTTGAGAAATGCAAGTCAACATAACATGTTTTCATCACTTTTCAAATTTACAAAATATTCTTCAAATTGAATACCAAACAGTTTTTAGATTTTTCAAATGGGATTGTGATGAGCACTTTTTTTATATATAAGGGTTGAAACTTTCATCACAAATTTGAAATCTAATTCTACTCTAGCAATCCATACATGAACGAATAAGCCGCATCAAACAGTGAGCAGATTTGACAAACAATAAACCAGTGGGATATGCAAACTTCACAAGTTTCCAATGTGATATAAACAACAACGAATTCTGGCACTCGTATAAAGATTAAGTAAATTGTTATCGTCAATTGATTGATAACCTCAAATAAGTTCCTGCACAACACTCTGCATTTGCAGAATTTTATGCTGTCGTCTTAGAGGTAGCTAAACAATCTTTCAAGAAACAGTCGAGCTTTGAAGAGTAGATGTTGGGGAAAGTCCTGAAGTGGTCTACATGCGGTGATGAGCCGAAATTGAAGGACCTAACCATTCTACCCTTCCTCCTTTGCTCTGCAATGAACAACTCGATCGACTGATGCGGAACAACTCCATCAGCGGTACTATACAGGTAAAGTTGAGGGCAATAAGGAGTGTTTTCTGAGAGGATAGAAACTACCTTCGACAACCTCCTGCAAGAAAACCAACAGAAAGCAACTTAAGTCAATTGTTTACCCCTTTAATTGAGATGTTCTGCCCATTTTCTTTTACACCCAATTATATATCAACTATCAAAACAAGATATTGAAACAAATGTTCGAACACAGAGTACTTACTTGTCCACGTCAGGCAACTTTAGAAGAACTGAGAACAGCTTCTCTAATACCAACAGAACCATGGTTTCAACTATCAGAGGTTTCTCTTCTTGCATCTTTGACAAGCTCACTGCATCTTCAGACTTATTCAGTTCTCTAGCCTCAACCGCGGGGCTTGTTAAAGAGCTGCGTTTCTTCAAGATAGCGACAGAAAAGCCCGCTGCCCACACCTGTCAAGTTAAAGTGCAAAACGAAATAACATCCTACTTAATTAGAGACATATAGCTCAAGTTCTGCTCATAGTGAATGTATAATCATAAGAAAAGGCATAGTTGGCCAGTTAGATTAAAATGTATTCCTCTGATCCAATTTATTACACAACTTCCATCGAAACATGGCACACGATTGAGAAACCAAAAAAAAAAAATTCATTGCGGGGTTCTAAGCAAGTCATTTCAGCTTCAACCAAATTGGGGTAATGTCTTATAGAAAACAAATCTATCTGATAAAAGTTTGACCAAACAAATCAAAAGCACAATCTAAGCAAACAAACTCATGCATTTTTCACAACATTTTACATGGTAATCAACCAATATTTCAAAATGTAATAAAACCGTGATTAGAAAGAACCTTAGGATTAAAAGGCTCCGCTGCTCCTGAATCAACAACACATCCTTTAATCTTCTCCATCAGGTCTTGTCTACCCTGAAGAATTTCAAGAATGGCGCCATATCTGCCAAAAAGATCAACGACCTCTAAAACCCCAATTGTTGGCATCAGAGCACAGTACTAACAGAAAGCAAAGATTTACACGGCAAAGACATAATCAAAGAGTACCTACACAAACCAACCCGTATTGCTAAAAGTGTGAAAAAGCAAACACCTTTCTCTCCCATCCTCTACCCTCTCCTCCACCCACGAAACGAGCTCTTGGGCCAAATCCGAAACCCGTTTTTCGACCCGGTGGCCCAAATCAAACCAGAGCACGTCCCTCGCATCAACAACGAAGGTCACCGCGTGAATGCCTCTGGAGTTATACCATTCCACGTACCTCTTCAGGTGCTTGGTTTTGGCCCCAAGCCAACCCAGCAAGACGACGGTTACTTCTCGCTTTTGGGTTCCGAAAGAACCCACATTTCCATCAATGCCACTCTGGAAAGCTCGGTTCCATGTGAAAACGCCGTCGTGTGAGTGCGAGAGAGAGTGGTTGAAGTTGTTGATCGGGAATTGGGAAGAGAGAGAGAAGAGGAGGGATTGAAAGGGGTTTGTATGGGTGGCGAAGTTGAACGAGGACTGTGGCTGTGCGAGAGAAAGAGAAAAGGGGGTTCTTTTGACGACGCCGTTTCGAGCGGCAGTGTGAAATGGAAGTAAGGGATTTGGGGGCCGGAGAAGTTTGGGAGAGAATGTAAGAGCGGACGGCGTCATTTTGGCGAAGAGCTGGCGATTGAGACTGAGAATTCTCACTGGAGTTTCCATGGTACAAGTCTATGAATCGGATTTTGAAAACCGGTTTGCGATAACCTGGTGAGTATTGAAGAAACGACACCGTTGACTCAAAATGGCGGTATATTGTACAGAATGAAAAACGACATACCGTTCATGTGATCTCTCCTGGTTTGTGTCTACCACTCCTCCACAACTCGAAACGTGCACCAAGTACCAACCACAGGAAAAGCTCAAAACTTTACAAATTACACTCATTTTTTAGAGCCTTCACAACCATTTTCCAATGTCTTCCTCATGTGCCGTTTTGCCTTCAGCTAGAACAGAGCTCTTCAACCCAGTGCATGAAAGCAGGTTCATTGCCCCTACAAGACCATTTCAGTGCAACAGTAAGCTCGTTCACTTTATCTTTCTATCAAATCAAGAAAAGTTTCAATTTCTTTTCTGGCTTGTGACTGATGAGTTTGTTGCTCTACTTGGAAGGAAGCAAATGTGTAATGAGCAGGAGGGGTTTTGCTTTTAGAGGAGTTGCAGCTTCAGGACTCTCAGTTGTGGGCTCTTCTTTGACTACTCAGCCTGTTGAAGGTTAATCAATCTCTTTGCTTGTTCTTTTTGTTTTTAGAACAATTCCTGCGTTTATTTTGAATTAAGTGGGAATGTTTTTTCACTATAGGTGTTGAAAGACTACCGTTCAAACCGGAGGGGTACAATTTTTGGACATGGAGGGGTCACAAAATTCATTATGTGGTGCAAGGAGAAGGGCCTCCTGTTGTTCTTATCCATGGGTTTGGTGCTTCTGCATTTCACTGGAGGTTTGCTATTTTATGACCATCACCTTCTATTTTCCCTTCAATTTATATGTCACGTAAAATTGAAGAAACCAGGGGGAATTTCCTCTTTGTTTCTTTTGCTTCTTTTGCTTCTGTGATTAAAACCCAATTGTTGTCAACTTGTTATAAAGCCTTAAATTGCGGGGAATTGGTTTTTCTTAACACTTAAATCTTAATTGTCCATTGAATGTGTTATTAGCTACACATTTATGTTAATGGTGGCTGTAAGTGGTATACTTTAATGCTGATAAGTTTTTACTCTCTCCATAATACAGGTACAATATACCAGAGTTGGCTAAAAAATACAAGGTTTATGCTATAGACTTACTGGGGTTCGGGTGGAGTGAGAAAGCACTTGTTGAATACGATGCCATGGTTTGGAGGGATCAAGTCGTGGATTTTGTGAATGAGATAGTGAAAGAACCAACAGTTTTAGTTGGAAACAGGTAATCTAAACTTTATTTGGTTACATATGGTATCTTTAATAATTCATTTGTAACTAAGAAAACTTCAAAGAGACGTGAATGGGGATGATCACGACTTTTGAACCATCAAACTATGTTGTCTAAATGTACCAGCTTAAAACCTGAGTTGAGGTTTTCCTGAACTTATCCAATTAAGAACTTCACTCTGGCATTTGTTCACAAGAGGCTAATTTCTTTGAGTTCATCATTGCAAGCTGGACAATGTTTTTATTATCATGTTTTCTTTTGAGATGGCAGTTCAACTAATGATTATATGACTCGCTGTAAATTTTCAGCCTTGGAGGTTTTACAGCTTTGGTTGCAGCAGCTGGGTTGCCTGAGCAAGTAATTGGAGTTGCACTCCTCAATTCTGCAGGACAGTTTGGAAATCCTAATAGTGAAGCCGAGAAGTCTGAGGAGGAAACAGCCCTGCAGAGGTTCATCCTAAAGCCCCTGAAGGAAATTTTCCAGCGGGTGATACTTGGATTTTTGTTCTGGCAAGCAAAGCAACCAGCTCGAGTTGAATCTGTCTTAAAGAGTGTAAGTCTCTTTCTAGTCTTCTCCTTGAAGTCTGAGTATATATCATCCTTAGTATGTAAAACAAATGAATTAGCAAGCTTTTCTTCCATTCTTGCAATTAATCTCACAGATATAAGGGCAGTTTCATCCCAATCCCCAGTATTTTGCAAGTCATTAACCCTCTTGCAATCATTGTAAAAGAGCCCTCCCACATTCATGATAAATATTTTGACTGTATGTTTTAAGTACTTATTTTTGCCAACGCAGGTGTATAAAAATACCTCCAATGTGGATGACTACCTGGTGGAATCCATAACAATGCCAGCAGCTGACCCAAATGCTGGAGAAGTCTATTACAGGTATGTGGAGATCTGATCATCTCTCTTTTAGTCTTTCACACGAAAGCATCTAATATAGATGCACTGAATAAGAATAATGCAGATTAATGAGATCTTGAAAATTTAGTCATGAACATTGGTGTCTAAGTCCTTCCTATGTATGTTGTCTTCTTATTTGTTTTGCGCAGATTGATGACCCGGTTCATGACAAACCAGACCAAGTATACTCTAGACAGTGTCTTAAGCAAGATGTCTTGCCCACTGTTGTTGGTATGGGGTGACTTGGATCCGTGGGTAGGTCCTGCCAAGGCCAACAGAATCAAAGAGTTTTATCCAAATACAACTTTGGTAAATCTACAGGCCGGGCACTGTCCGCATGATGAAGTTCCAGAGCTTGTCAATAGGGCTTTATTAGATTGGTTATCAACTTCGACATCTGAGGCTGAAGCTGAAGCCTCTCTCCAAACAGTCTGAATACGAACTTATACTTGTAATACCAATTTAGAATTGTAAATTCATGAATCAAATTACTATTTAAGGTTATCTCTCCATCTTTATGATAGCGTTTTTGAACTTCAAGAGCGAGCTACCTTCTTAGCTGCAACAACAGAACGCTCACCCTAGGATTTGCCTCTTTGTTTTGTTTAGGGCATTGCGCAAAAGAGCTTTAAGCCACTTTTTATTGCGCCATTTTGTCTGTGAAAAGAAGCAGTTCAGCTATGAGAGTTCCAATGGCTTCCACATGTTCTGTTCATACCTAAACCACCAACAGGGCCCTTTTTACTTTAGTCACCAAACACCCAAAAAGGCATGAAAACCAGACAATACACGACTTCATCCATAGAATAATTATACATTTGTGTCTCTCCAAGAAACTTTTTAGATTTTAAAGCTCATTCGAAGAGGAGAATTCGTTTCTTGTCGTTCTTGTAATTGGCTTATTAAAGGCAGCATTGCAACACGGCCTTTGGAGATGTCTCGGGTCTACAAGGCACATAAAGAATCCCAAAATTGATCATATAGGGAGGTCATATGTGCAGGAGAATAGTGGTTATTATGTTATGTGCATGCCCTTCATTAAAAAAAGATTTACATACAACAACAACAAAATGCACGTTTGGTGGGTCTTTGAAATAGTTCAAATCATTTTGATAATAATAAGGTTGATCAGTCAAGCAACAAACGTAGTTGTTTGTATAGGCGGAATCGAGCTTCAATTCATAAGCTGACGATACATGTGTTGCAAGTAATGTTATATGTACCACATTTACCGAGTATGTTGTTGATTGCATCTCCGACGAAAGATGTAACTAGTTTGATAAAACCTAACAAAGGGTAGTGCCAGTGTGTTTAATTGGAGATAAACGAAATGAATCCAAACGACAACTTCTGCAGACAACATGGCGCGGATTTAGGAATATATGCCGTTATAGCCGCCATGCAAATGCCGCGCAGTTATTCCATGCAAAGTTGCAATCTTTGCCTGTAAGCTGTAGCCCCATAACAGAGAGAAGACAAAGACTAAACCACAATGGCCAGCTTAGAAATTACAGAAAGACAAGCTTTTAAAAAAAAACATTATTTTCTGTTTCTAGCTGTAAATTTAGCAATCCCATCATATTTCATCGACATTGTTAGCATCACCAATGCCTCTCTTCTTTGTAAGCATCGCATCCGCATGGTTTTAAGCATCTCTGCCTTCATAGGTTGGTTCAATAGCACTTTCCTTAGGTACCCTTTTTCTTTCTTCTTCTCATTATCTCCTTTATCATTGTATAATAATTTATGCATGTCACTCCTTAGATTCTCAGATTTTCCAATGCCCCAAACCTCAGATTAATCTTGTCCTTGTGAATCAACAACTCTTTGATTTCTTGGCCTGGTTATGTTCCATCTTAGGAGCAACAGAAAATAGTGTGTGGTGTTCAAGCTGGTTTGTTTTGAGCTCTGGTGGGTGGTTAAAAAATGGAGAATAATTGGTCAAGGCATGGTAGAAATTCTGTGACTCCAGTGAAGCAAAGGAGGAGTGGATATGAGCCGTCTGATGCTGAGACTGAAATCTCAGATAGTCCATGGCACGGCGGCAAGATGAGGATTAATGTTGGCTTGGAATATGAAGGGACAAAAGCAGAGTTGGATTTGGCAAGAAACATTAGCCCTTTGAAGCAGAGCAGGATGCACTCTTCAAGAATTGAATATGATGGCCCTTCTCTTAGAACTAACTCTGTAGTGAGCCCCGTTCGAAGAAGAAATAGCAGCAAGTCACCCTACAAGCCAAGGAGAGATGATGGTAATGCACGAAATTCACCGTTGGCGGGTTCTGATCTTCATAGAAATATTAGCCCCTTCTCAAAATCTGAGCGCAGAAGACATGTTTCACCTTTCCAAGCTGAGAGAGGAGAGCATGATTTGTATGGCTTTGATGATGAGATTGTGGGCTCAAACAGAAAGCAACAGCATCACAGAAGGAACAGCAGAGAGGAGAAGAAACCAAACTACAGCAGGAGATCAACAACTGCTCCAAGACATAGATCACCAAGAGAAGTTGACCAACAAAACAGTTATGAGTCCCAAACACCAACTAAGGGGGAGAGAAGTAGAACACCAACTAAAGTGGAGAGAACACCATCACCATTGTCAAAAAACATGGCTCAGAAACAAAGGCCAGTGAACTCCCAGATGAAATCGCCGTCCGTTGGTGAAATCAATGAAATGCTTGCCAATGCAAAGCTTGCTAGAACTTCTCCAAATCCCATGTCCAATAACAAAACTCCAGTTTTTGGAAGCTCAGACTCTATATCACCAGGTGACATCTTCTTTTCTAGAGAGTGCACAGTCATGGCATTGCCAAGAAAGGTCTTGACTAAAAATGGTGATTTTGAGAGCCCCGATAGTCCCAAGCGCAAAATGGTTCCCCAGAGAGACTTTGCTGCCTCTCAACACAGAAGCAGAACAAATGGTAGTTATGATCTTAATGGTAATGGTAGAGGGAATCCATCCCCTTATGGCTTGTCACAGATGACCACTACCACATCAAGCTCCGCCGTGAGCAGGCAGAGCAGTGGTACACTTAGCGTTGGAAGCAGCAAGAGGAGTGATGCAAGTGGGACCACAACGGCAAGCATGAGGAAATTCACAGCCAATCGAAGGAAAAGCGAAAGTCAGGCATGGTTTTCGTGTATGAGAAAGGGTGCTTGCAAGACTAACAAATCACCTGAGCGTGGTACATTCAATGAAGCTGCATTCATTGAGAAGGCATTTGTGGTTGAGAGTCTCAGACAGTTCTGGGCTGATAAGCACCAACCCGCTTCGTTGAATGGATTCACTTGCCACAAACAAGAAGCTCAAATTCTCAAGCAACTTGTGAGTTATGTTGGGACAGAATCTTCTTAAATATATATATTTTTTGTTATACATTGTGGATCATTTGCTTTGTGTGCTGCTTGTTTTTTCTAGTTCCACACACTTTCTTATATGTTTTCCTCCCTACTTTCTTACTCATATTTTGTTGAGTTTGTAGGTGATTGATAACATCTCTCCTCATATTTTGTTCACTGGACCATCTGGTTCGGGGAAGAAGGCTCTAACGATGGCTTATCTACGAGAAACATATGGTGATTCAAGTTGGGAAGTATGCTTCTTTCATCAGATGCAATAACCTTGAAACTTTTTTCCTTGGACATTGGCTGACTTGATCTTCTCTTCTTTTTTTTCCTTTGTTTCTGCAGATATCTCATGATTTAAGATATTTCCAGGTTCAGGTATTCTGTACTGAAATAATGAACAAATTATCAACTCCGCGGTTTAACTTAGAATTTGCAAATGCTCATAACATCCTTAGGAAATTGATGTTTTCAATATAGTGAAGTGAAAATTTCTAATTGCTGATTGACAGAAAGAACTACAAAGGCTATTTTACTTAAGCAAAAAGCTAACTCAACTAATCCCTACCCTAACTACATGGGTTGGTTGTTAATCCCTCTATTTTACCTTCTGCCACAATATTTTGGCTCATATTACCATCAAAATAAAGGCAGAAAAACACATCAGTACAGCTTTTTTTTTTTTTTTTTTTTTATGGGAGCTCACATTGTCATATGCTGACAGGAACAAAAGCCAATCCAAGTAGTGGTTCCATTGACATCCAGTGCTCACCATGTAGAGCTCAATGTACAATTGGAAGCAAATGCTAGATATGCATTAATGGGTTTGGTCAGGGAAATAAACAATGAGAATGCAATTGCTCCTGAAGTCAGCTCTGTTAATTTCAAGGCAAATCATAAAGGTTCATTTCTCTAAACACATGCATAAATCCCCTCTAAACAGTTTGAACCATTCACTCAAAGTCGAAGCTAACATGGTTTCCTTATTTTTTGGTCCAGTGATGGTTCTTTACGGTGTTGACAAAGCAGCAGAGCATATTCAGCATTTGATAAAATGGATAATGGACTGTTACTCAGAAGCTTGTAAGCTCATACTCTGCTGTGAAAACGATGCAGCTGTCATCGAATCGGTGAAAAACCGGTGCAAGGTTATCAAGGTTGATGCTCCTGTAACTCATGAAGTAAGTATTACCTTGATTTTAGAGTCACCAAAATGCTTCTGTGATTGTGTAAGTTCTGAGTTTTCTCTGTCATTACCCCCACTTTATAACTTCCCAGATTATGGAAGTTCTTATTCAGATAGCAAGGAAGGAAGACTTCGACCTACCTATGAGCTTTGCTAATAAGATTGCTATTAAATCAAAGCAGAACTTGAGAAAAGCAATCATGGGTCTTGAAGCATGCAAAGCACACAAGTAAGAACACAATGAAAAAAAAAATTATTAAAAACATTGTTGGATTGTACTCTGACTTGTACTCTGACTTATGTGGAGCTGTACCAATGCAGCTATCCTTTTGGAGATGATCAACCAATTCCGCTTGGATGGGAAGAGGTGCTGCTTGAACTCGCTGCTGAAATCCTAGCTGATCCATCACCTAAGAGGTAACAATTTCATTTTAGATTTTTAGGTACTCTCGACGTCCCGCGATATTTTCTATTTAACAATAGTTGAATTGATTTCCAAATTTGATCATTTGTCAGATTATTTTTCATCCGGGGAAAGTTTCAAAAGCTTCTCGTTGATTTTGTGCATCCGAAACTGATTCTACTGGTATTGCATTTCGTACCTCAGAGATGTTCTTCGTAACCACTTGCTCACCAAAGTATAATTGTGTGATAGAGTTTCCAATTTCCAACATGCAGAAGCTCGTGGAACAGTTCCTGATGGGACTGCATGGTAGTTCTAAAAGGGAACTTTATTATTGGCATGCTTATTATGTAAGTTTATCTCCCTCGTTCCTTATTTTTGTCTTGCTGAGATGGTGAACTAACTTATATTTGTCCTTGCAGGAGAAAAGACTCCCAGCAGGAGCGAGTGCTTTACTGAAACTAGAAGGTAAACATATGCAAATCACCAAAATCCTTCATCCAATTTGGGCACATAATCAATAATTTGGGCAGAGACCACTCTTGTAATAGTTTACTGGTTAATCATGCACTTTTCTTTTGCAGAATTTATGGCAAAGTTCATGAGCATATACCGGAAGAGTTCCAACAATCGTCAAAATGCTTAGCTCTACAAGCCCTCATTGAGAGTCCATCGTTTCTTGCCACTTATGTATAGGTCGTTATCAAGATTGTGTTACTGCAGCTAATACTGGGAAAATCTGAATGAGACGGAGACAAATGCCCCTGGAAATTTTTTCTTTGGGTCATGGTGGGTGATCATGAAGACCTAGATATAGCATAAAACGAACACATTCTCTTGTTTAGCCAAAAAGAAATAAAACAACAGCATACTCATTCTCAGTTTGGTCAGTAAGTATTTGTTCTGACATGAACAATGATAAGCATGTCAATTAATATCTCAGTTCGCAAGAATGAAAACACAACTAAGGCACCCATCCGAATAAGAAGCAGCTTCTCATGCTTTGAAATTGCTTACAACAAAAACATTGGGCACATGCCCCCACACGCAGAACACTATAACATAATCCGCAGTTAGCTGAGATTCCAGGTTCAATGCTGTTTCACCCCATGTCTACTTTAATCTGCCAGGTAATCTTTATCGGAAGACCAGTGTAGCTTGAACCTTCATTAGGTCTATGGAAGTGATAGATGAACTATCAGGGCATCCTGGCAAGACCTGTCATCCACTACTAAACTAGAGAGTCTAGCCCATGTACAAATACACTAAAAGAACATTACCTTCAAAGCATATTTAAGATCTCCAAACATATCTTTTTTTTCTTTAGTCACAAGATCTACAAATCAAGCATTTTTGTTTTTAGATTTGCAGAAAAGCTGCTCCCATTCAGTTACTTCTTCCCAGTGTACCGCTGTCAAAAAACAAATGGAGATAGCATATAATTAGACCATTCATAGTAGGGGATGCATGACCTACATGTGAGGGCCAAGCACAAAGATGGGAAGAAAGCACTAGAATATGATTACTCACCTGCTTTCCAATATCAAATGGAACATATTTGTATTTGATCATGTGTAGGATCTGCCGTTTCATTGTGAGGACAAATAGAACAATCCAGTAGCATAACAATATTGGCCAGAAAACAGGTACATCCAGCACAGAAATGAAGGTCAACATAAATGCAACAATAAATGCCTTTGTGATGGAATACCTGAAACCATTAAACAATTTCATTTAAAAAAATTCCAAATCAATACAACATCAGTACACTAAAACCATCCAAGATTCTTAACAATTGTGCCTCCAAGGAAATTAGTAAAGACGAGACAATTCAGCTTCTTAACTGCTTTTCCTTTTTGGGGTGAGCCAGTTTAGTCATGAAGTTAAGGTATTGGATGGATGCATTCTACGTCTCAAGAACATGAATCAGGTTACAACAAGAAATCTCAAATTCATTTCTCGTTTATTATTACTAATAATACTCCATGGCATAAACACCCTATCAACTCAACGCATTTAATAACTCCCACAACCTGATGGCTATAAGCCATATCAGCAAAAAGACCACCTCCAGCAGAACCATCCCTCAGTACTTAAGAACAATGTCAAAAGCTGAAACTCATATTATTCAATGTCAAAACGGTTTTCTACAACTAAAGTAAAACCTATCAAAGCCCATTGGTAAAAAGGGAAACATATGGTTTACATACATTTCCAGTCAAGGACAAAGGGCATTATTACAAGACACTTCAAACGTTTATGACTGCTAAGAGATTCACTTACACAAACAAATGCAAAGGGGGTTTTATCAAAATGAGGAGCAGACCCAACATGAGAAATTGCAGTCACTAGTCCAGATACCATTACTGCAAATATGAACCAACAGAATGACAGAAATTTACCAGAACTTAAACTCGGGAAGGCGGCGAACAAAAGGCCTAAACTCATCAGCACCTTTTGTTGGCAATGAAGCCCCATCCAAGGCTTCAAGCTCCGGGTCCACCTTCGGTGAGAAAAAGCCTATCAAGAGATTCAAGACATAGATCCCCAGGCCATAGGAGATAACATAGAACCCTTGAACATAGTACACACGCAGAATGTAAATCATTGCCACAGCAAGGGTTCCTAGCCACCGATTAACAGTGTGAGGCGTTGACCGATCCAAATAGTGCTGGAATGCTCTCGAAAAATCGCTCCTCCATTGAGCCAGCGGTGCCGCTGCTGCTCCTTCACTTCCTGGTCCCTCCATCGAAATCAGATTCTACGAAAAAAAAATTGCAACAATGTAGAAATTAAAAGCATGATATGAACCAAAAATGACTATTTTTTACAAATTTGGAAACTAACCTAATATAGCTACTACTTCGTTTGCTCAACATAACATCAATGAGAAAAGGCGTGTGAAACGATGTTACAGTTTTCTCTTTTCATCTATCCCATTTTCCCAGGAAACAAACGGAGGGCTACAGATTGCCCTTGTGCATCAATGAATTAACTGCGCTTTAAGCTAAACCAATAATAACTGAATCTGCGAGACTAAGATCAGCGAAAGAGCAAATTACCTGGTGATGACTGAGTTAGGGTTTCGAAAAGTAGACAAAACGAGGAAGATGATGAAATTACGACAGTTGCCACCCAGCGTCAGCGATTGGCTCTCGTGGTCTGTTGTTCACAAAGCTCTGGGAATGGGATAGTGGGGATTTACCCGCGTCCAGCTTCGTGAGTAGGCCTAACAATGGGTAGGGTCAATCAGCCCATTATGGCCCAATGACCAAGGGATGGGTGGCCCGGGTTTATGTGATCCTAATTTGGCTAGTCCAGCCGTGCGGCTATATTATTTTTTATAAAAAAAATTCCAGAGTATAGCCATTAGCGTAATCACTCAACAGTATATTAAAAAATATTCAAAAAAACGACGCCAGTAAAGCCGTTCGGCTATACACTTTTTAATCAAAAAAAATCTAGGGTATAGCCAGGGACGGATCCAAAAATCTGTTCTCCGGGGGTCAACATATATAAGCTCACAATTTTTTACATATAGAAGACCTGTAGAAATGAATGAAAATGCAATAAAAGTTACATACATGTATTTTTTTTTTAATGAGGAACATGTTTATTAGATTGTTATATGCATATTTCGGAAATTAAAAAAAACCTGTCCAAAAGGCCATAATAATAAAATAAAAAGTGAAGTGACCTGGTCCTAAACAGTGTCGTTTTGAGATGAAACTACAGCAAAGAGGAGGAAATGAAACACAGCAGACCAAAGGAAATTTGAGATGAAAAAAATACATAAGAAAAAGTGGACCATAAGCAGTAACGAAGGTACAAAGTAGCATAAAGAATAAATAAAAAAGGAAGTGGGAGACATCATGCATGCGCGTGTCTTCAGCTAATTGGACCAGCAGACAAAGAACCATATAATATATAACATAGATAGAGGCTTTAAAATACATAATATATATATATAGGACGATGTCGTTTTGACATCGAGGAAATGAAAAAATAGGAAGTGCAAGCAGCGCTGCGTGCTGGAGTATGCTGCACGCTGGGGAGGAGCAGCGCTGCGCGCTCTTTGGGGATTTTCGTCGAGTGGTTTGCAGGGGTCAATTTTCTCCCCTCGAATGGTAGATTCTAGAGTTGCATGGGTCACTTGACCACCTTTGCTCCTCTGTAGATTTGTCCCTGGGTATAGCTGAACGGCTATACAACTTATAAAAAAAATTCAAAAAAGGACGCCAGTAATCCGATCGGCTATCCGCTTCTGTATTAAAAAAAATTTCCAGAGTATAACCGCCCAGCTATACTATTTATAAAAAAAATTCAATAAAACGACGCCAGTAAAGCCGGTTGGCTATACTCTTTTTAATACAAAAAATTCCAGAGAATAGCCGAATGGCGATACTATTAAAAAAATAAGGGCCACGCCTATCGCCTAGCCCCCAGTGTGTGTTTTTGTGAAAAAATTATAGCCGTGCGGCTATACTTTGTAAATATAATATTTCCAAGTATAATAATAGCATAATCTTAATTTCTCTTTTTAAAATTGTTATGTTTTAATTATTATTTACTTAGTGAATAATTAGTATTTAAATATTTAAATATATTTTATTTTTATTCAATAATATGTGGGTGTTTTGTGTATAATATGTAAATTTTGTGTGTAATATTTAAAATTTTGTATAAAAAAAAGTGTATTAAACATGAAAAATATGTACATATGTGTACAATACGAGTATTAAACGGCAAAATGCTAAATTCTTTATATGAGTAATAACTCTGAAAAAGTAAAAACTCAAAAGGGGACAATAGAGACTTTGCGTAATGACCTAATAGTAATGGATAATGTTCTAAACTACTCATATTGATAAACAAAAATTGAGGAATATAATTATAAATATAAATAAAAAAAGATCACAGTATCTATTTCAAGAGTATAGCCGCTCGCCTAGACTATTTATAATAATAAAACGACCCCAGTAAAAAATTTACATGAAATGGACTTTAGAAACACACACAAATCTCATTTACACCATAATAAAGAGACTTTGAACTTCCTCTAATTTACAAACTGCAATCGATTTTCTTAAAACAAGCTCAACCTCAAAACCTTAAAAAAAACCAACACTCAAAACAAAAGGGTAAAACCATAAATTAATATATTAAGTAAACTCTATAATGGGATAGCTGGCATTAATAGGGGTTTTTTGTTTTTTAATAATTTAAATGATATAGTGTTTAACTATAACGCTAGTGCTAAAAATGGATATATAACTAAATATTTTTATTAAATTTCTAAAATTATTTTTAGAATGAATATGTTTGAGATCATTTAAAAAAAAAGAAGCAATGAAAATTTATTAAAAAAACGAAATCATATTGCACAGTAACTATAAAGAAACTACCATTCTCAATCTCATTCCAATTTGTTTTTACTATTTTATCCCTTATTAATTAAGTTATTTTATTTTATAAACTTAATTAACGAAGAGCATTTCTTGGCATTTTAAATCTTTTACGGTTTTTCTCTGTGTTTTGATTTATATATATGGATTAAACAATTTTTTAATGATAGCATGCATATTGGCAAGCCCTTCTTCAATGGTTGTAAGTGGAGAGGCAAGTTTACGCAAACTTTTATCAATAGAATAATAATTTACAAAAGTTTTGTTGTCTTGCTGGAATAATTTCCAAAAGTTATCATAAGTGTTAATCGAAAAAGAAAAAAGGTTAGCGTACGTGTAACACTATGATTGGCTCCGTATTTTCGTTTAGCCGCTGTAAGAGAAAAAGCTTATTTTTGCGCCAAAGTTCCAACTTGGGAAAACATTCTCTGACGCTTACCGAAATAGTGGCCGTCCGATTGACTCCGATACGATCCAACGACTGGTATTGACTTATGACTGACCGCTGCAAGAAGTTGACAGCAGCATCTTCGTCCTTCTTCCTATAAATTAAGCTCAGAGCTATCTCAGTCTCTTTTTCACATATACACGCAAATTCTAGAACCTATTTTTTGCTGTGCATTTCTGGTGCTCTGTAAGTTCTTCTTATCCCTTCTACAATGGTTTCAGAGATTTTTGGTTTCCTTTTTTGCTCTTTTTCATGGCGTAGTCTATGGATTGTGTGATTGGTGTTCTGCTAAATAGAAAAATTAAGCGGAACCCATTTGATTAAATTCTTCCAGTACTGCATCTGGATGGAAATTCTTGGTATCTGTTTGATTTTCTTTGATTGGGTTTGTTGCGTTTGTATTTGAAATCTTAATCGTTTGCATTCTCTGGGTCTGTTCTGAGTATGCTATGCATGAAGATTTCAATTTTGTGGTTCATTTTCGTTTTGTCTTGATTCTATCTCTTTCATTTCTGAGGTTTTCTGAGGTGTTAATCTCTTACATGCAGTCGGTATAGCATTGGGGATTGTTATATCTATTTGTGTTGTGAATTATAAAATTTGACGTGGTTTCTGAGACTTCCAATATTTTGAGTGTGTTATATCTATTTGTGTTGTGAATTATAAAATTTGACATGGTTTCTGAGACTTCCAATATTTTGAGTGAAAATCTAGCAGTCTTTTCTTGTTCTTGTTTTTCATATTTTGTATTTTGTCCCTCGATTTTGAGAGAAATTCCACTTTGTTAATAACAGAAATTCACTATGCCATGATTTCCTGCCCTCGTAAGTCCTTATTAGTCCTCTGCCATGATTTTTACTCACTGAAATTCACTATGCGTGTGTAATTACTCAATGGGTAAAATATGATTTATTCAAGAAGATTGTGTGGTAAGGTTTCTTTTTGTTTTCTTTTTTTCCAAGGCTTTCTGTAAGGAGTGAATATGGCTAACAGTGGTGGAGAAGGGAGTGGAAAGAATTCAGGATTTCCTCATGTTGTCCTCAATGAAAGAATCCTTTCTTCAATGTCACGGAGATCGGTTGCTGCTCATCCCTGGCATGACTTAGAAATTGGTACCATTTCTTTGGGCTTTTTTACTTTCATTCTCGACTCTCTCCTCTCTTTTTGATTGGCTGGGCATTTCCTTTACCCTGAAAAATTAGAGAACCTAGGGCTTTATATATAGACAGAACTTGGTTTTTCCTGTTACAACACGGAGAGAGTGATGAGCATTATTATAAGTAGTGTTTTGTGCGTGTGTGTGAGAGTGGTTGAGAGAAGCTTAGATTTTCTTGTGTGTAGGCTGTTGTTAAAGAGTTCCATGCATGAGTTGAGAGAGAGACTCACATGTTTTCCATCTTTGCAGGACCTGGTGCGCCAGCAGTTTTCAACGCTGTAAGTTATTATTTGTCTTAGTATTTGTTGTTCCTTTTGATAAATTTCATCATACATATTGGTCTCTTCATTTGGGAGATTATGTTGATAGTCTGTATATGAATGTGGTTGAGGAGATTTAAAACCATTTAGAATAAAGTTGTGTGATGCCTTGCATATCGTTGTGGTGGATGAGATTTAAACCTTTTAGAATCAGGTTTGTGTGATGCTTCTCTTAGTGGATGATGAATTCCATAATCGTCCTCAGTTATTTAAAGATAAAAAAAGAATTATATATTCTATCTCAAGATTCTGTAACAACAGTTATGTACTAATCCAAATGTGAATTTCTGTGGCAGGTTGTTGAAATTAGCAAAGGCAGCAAGGTTAAGTACGAGCTCGACAAGACAACTGGCCTCATAAAAGTGAGACTCTTCTTCTTCTTCTTCTTCTTTCCTAGATGACAAGCTGTTGCCTCTGTCATAAATATTGAACCATGTTTATTCAATTACAGTTAGAGAATTTCAAACAAGTTCTTTATCATTTCCCTTGTTTGATTTACACTATTATTGTCATGGTTGCTAAGGTATTGACATCTAATATGAAATTTTGCCTCTCATGGAGGACACTAATGCACAAGGATCTTTAATGTAGGTTGATCGTGTTCTTTACTCATCAGTTGTTTATCCACACAACTATGGTTTCATTCCCCGAACCATCTGTGAGGATAGCGATCCTATGGATGTACTGGTACTGATGCAGGTAAAGTCATTTCGACACATAATTCTTTCCACAATGAAATGAATCTGATTTTGGTGCATTCATTTGAACTTGTTAAATACAATCTTGGATTTGCCACCCATATAGGAGCCCGTCTTACCTGGTTCTTTTCTTCGTGCTCGTGCTATCGGATTAATGCCCATGATTGATCAAGTAAGTGTTTATGTTTTTTCTGTCTCTTTTTATCTTATTTGACTGGAACATCAGCGCCACAATTATTGAACCTTTGGGAATAGATATTATTACTCTTCAGGGGAAGCTAGGGATTTGATCTAGGACAATAAAAATGAAGCTTTTAATGTAATAAAGGAAGGAAATTTGGTTTCATTTCACTGTGGTTTTTCACTAGCTTCCATCAAATTCACTCTCTCTCTCTCTCTCTCTCTTTTCCCTCATTGAGATCTGATTCCGTACATCCAGAAGTGGGTGTAGCTATCGATAACATGAGTTCTATTGCAGGGTGAAAAGGATGACAAAATTATTGCAGTATGTGCTGATGACCCTGAGTTCCGCTACACCAAGGACATCAAGGATCTTCCTCCCCATCGCCTTGCAGAAATTCGTCGATTCTTTGAGGACTGTATCCTATTATCTCATGCTTGCTATCTTTACTTTGGTTAGCAGTATTCAACAAAATCTCATCCCATTGCATTGAAACTGTTTGCACTTCTACTAATAAAAATCACCTGATATCTATTTGCATGATTTCAACCATCCATTAAATTTGTGGCAGACAATATGTACTGGTTCTTCTGTATGTTCTTAACTCAGTATTATGATAGACAAGAAGAATGAGAACAAGGAAGTGGCTGTTGAAGACTTTCTACCTGCTGAGGCTGCCATCGATGCCATCAAATACTCCATGTGAGATAAAAATTTCAGTTCCTCTCTGTTCACAGCCACCTATGATAATTGCAAAGGGAACTTAAATATTTCATTTCTAAACTTTTCTTAAAAGGATGCCTTGTGTTGCAGGGACCTGTATGCATCTTACATTGTGGAAAGCTTGAGGCAGTAACTAACCTGGTGGCTAATTAGTGAAATGGCTGAAACCATTTAATAATGTAGTGAGGCTTAAAGACTTCTTGCAGAATGCCTCTATATACAAGTTCTTATTCCTCAACTACCAAACCATTTCTCTGGATTTGGATGGAGATGTTATGCTGTACTTTTGATCATATCTCTTCTAAAGACTTGTATGTGTTGATGCTGTTTGGAGTAGTTTCCAAGTATTGGCTTCCTCGGTAGCGAGGAGAATGTACTATCGAAATGGTACAAATAATTTCTTCCATTTTGGATGCAAATGTTGCCTTTCCAATAGTGTTTGGCTTCCTGGAAAACATATTATGCTCAATGAATCTAGATTGGGATTGCATAACTCAAATAACCTTTATTGGCACTGTTCTCAGATACATTTTAAGTTTTCTAATTGAAATAGGTGAAATTATTGAACCTTCTTGACTTGTTATGTCCTACATAGAATTCCATTCCACTTCACTCGTTAAGCTTCAAACCTTCAATTATTAAGGAGGGAAAAAACAAACAAATACAAAAATGCTTCATTGACTGGGAACTTCTTTTTTACCCGAAACAAACACGGGTCATCTTCAAAACCATCTCTACTTCAGCGTCGTAAATGAAATCAGGGACACACCTAACCAAACAAAAGAAAAAGAAAATATATGAAATTAAGCAGAGACATTATTTATCTCGTTTTTTAGTGAAAGTATCACCAGCTGATGTAATGATACAGTACCACTCTATAATTTCTCCAATATCCACGCCCCAAATCACCCGTCCCCTGCATTTGTCACCTGCAGTTAAATGAGTGACACGTGGTGTAAAGTGAGAGATCACATTAAGAAACTGTAGGCAGAGCCGTAGACAATAACAGTGACCAAAACAAGGAGTGAGGTGAACTAGGTGAGGTAAGGTACTAAACGGCGCGCTTTGGTTCGGTTCCATTCTTTCCTTCTTTGGATAGTGAGTGAGCGCGAGTCGAGCTACCTCCTTTGTTGGCCAACATTTCCATTCCATTTGTCAGCAACAACAGCGAGCGCTCTCGTCCTCATCGATGCTTTTGCTTCAACGCCCACAGCTGAGAGCCTGAGACTGCCCAAACACACTCCTCCACCTACATCTCAGCCCCCTAAACCCTCACACTACTCACAAAATCTCAAATCTCTGACGAAGATGGGGACCCTGGGCAGAGCAATCTACACCGTCGGGTTCTGGATCCGCGAGACCGGCCAGGCCATTGATCGCCTCGGTTCCCGCCTCCAGGGCAACTACTACTTCCAAGAGCAACGTACGCCTCCCAATCCTTCTCCTTGAACTCAATTCCTCCAAACCCTAACCTGCACTGTCGCACAAATGCACACGAAAATGCACAATCTTGATTCTGTTGCTTTTGTTTATCGAATCGAATTTTGAGATCTACGAGGAGTTGGGTTTTGCGTGATTTTTTTTGGTGTGATTGCTTGTTCAGTGTCTCGGCATCGGACGCTGATGAACGTGTTTGACAAAGCTCCGGTGGTTGATAAGGACGCGTTTGTGGCGCCCAGTGCGTCCATCGTAGGCCAAGTTCAGGTGGGACAAGGTTCCTCCATTTGGTACGGTTGTGTTTTGAGAGGTAAAACCATTTCTATGAATTTGATCATTTACTTTATATTATTTTTGTTAGCATTTTCTTTTAGAAAATTTTACTCCTTGAAAAGCAGGCCAAGTTTGATGTTAGAATCTAATTATGAAAAAAAGTAGGTCAATTTGGTGTTATGATTAAAGCATAATCATGTATTTGTTGTATTTCTCTGATTGTGGTTCCTGGTGTGAAGGTGATGTTAACAGCATCAGCATTGGGTCTGGGACCAACATACAAGATAATTCCCTTGTTCATGTAGCAAAGTCTAACTTGAGTGGCAAGGTTTTGCCCACTGTAATTGGAGATAATGTCACTGTAGGTGGGTTACATTTTGTCTCGTGTTTCCAAAAAATTTAGCTTTGCCCCTTTATGCTGATTGGGGTTTATGTTAAGGGTCTAACTTCCGTGTTATGGTTTTCAATTTGAACCATACAGGTCACAGTGCTGTCTTGCATGGATGTACTGTAGAGGATGAGGCATTTGTTGGCATGGCTGCAACCTTGCTTGATGGGGTTTATGTTGAGAAACATGCCATGGTTGCTGCTGGAGCCCTTGTAAGGCAGAATACAAGGATTCCCTGTGGAGAGGTTTGTCAAAGCTCCCTTTTTTTGCCTGGAATTTGACTAATCAATCGAGTTAGACTGTTAGTACAAAGTTCACATAGGAAGCATCCAAGTGACTCAGTGAGCTGACATCCTTTAAATGAATGCAGCCTTTTGTGTTTTTGTTTTTTGGTTTATCCTACATTCACGACGGACTAGAGAATTTTAAAAGTGATTTGTTACTGATTGTTAAATAACAGGTATGGGGAGGGAATCCAGCAAAGTTCCTGAGGAAGCTGACAGAAGAAGAGATGGCCTTCATCTCCCAGTCAGCCATAAATTATTCCAACTTGGCTCAGGCTCATGCAGCTGAAAATGCAAAGAGCCTTGATGAGATAGAGTTTGAGAAGGTGCTGCGAAAGAAGTTTGCACGCCGTGATGAGGAATATGACTCTATGTTGGGTGTTGTTCGTGAAACACCAGCAGAGATTACTCTTCCTGACAACGTACTGCCAGGCAAAGTACCAAAGACTGCTTAAAAGTGTCTATGATTGATGTTGGTAAATGAATGGTACTCTCGGGATTTAGTGTAAGTGAGTATTTTGTTTATGTGCGGATTTAAGGCAAATGGCTGCTTTACATTTCCAATAATTTTGGGGGTCATCTGAAGTGTGAAGCTCAAACATGGAGTACATCTCTGGCTGGCATATGGCTCTACTTAATTTTCTGATTGATCAGCAACTTCATTTTCTATTTTCGAGGAGGAAAACCAAAAACTGCTATAATAGAACATATGTTTGGATGTTTTCAAAGCATCCTGGAAGGCCTCTTAGATTTGTAGTTTTAGAGCTTTATTGCTTTGGATATGTTTTATGAAATAAAGAAACTGAAATCAGGCATCGAAGCCTGCAAATACTTTTGGTGTAGCTTTGATTAATTGTACTTTTGTTCTCAACCATTGAAACGAACAGAGGCTTAGGCCAAACGACCATCTCTTTTTTGGTTCCCTTCCCCTTATTTGCATCTGCCTGGCCGGACCGGAAGGAAATGGCCTTCAGAAGTTCGGAAAAAGAGCACATTATGTTTTCTACTTCTGGTAATCAAAAGAGAGTTTGCTGCTGATCGAGCTTGCATTTTTAACTCAATCTAAGCTGAATACCAAATAATTACACTAGTGAGTCATTTGCACTAACTCAGATTATTTTGGTAAATACCAAGAGGCGTCCTCACATCCGAAGGGTGAGATTAATTTCCGCTCAGGGTTCGGCTTGACTTTGATCACTAAGTGCTTCCAACGGGTTTTGAACTCTTGCCATTGAGGCATCAGGTAGCTCGCCAACTGAAGGTATCAGCTTATTAATCATATAATACATTATTGGAAACATGTCGAACTGTGATTTGTCTGTAAAAAGCAGATTTTCTGCTAATAAAAGGTGAACTGCAGATCTCCAATACAGCCCAAACTGATTGCATTCCTACAGCCCAACAGAGCCTGCTATACTGTACTCAATTCTGTGGACTGAGCTTGAGAGAGCTATAATTTTTTATTTTCTCGGACTCGGGAGAGCCATAATTAATAACATAGTGGATGATTATGATCATCGTTAAGTTAATAATGACCTTTCTAAGCCAAAAAGAAAAAGTTGAAGCTTGGGTCGCTTCTACTCTCAAAACTTGAAAGTTAAAGTTGTCTAGGTACCTAATAATGAGTACTAACTAGCATCATCTCAAATTTTTAATTGGATTACTTCTCCAATCCAAAAATATAATCAGTTGACAAGTGAACCCAAAAGTGATCACAAATTTCAAATTCATGTGGTTAAAAGTGTTTGTCTTGATCCCACGCAATGCTTGTTTTGCTTTAGCCCTTTTTGGAACTCTTGGTAGTTGGTAGATGGTGCTCCTTGGTACATTGGAATTTGCTTCATAATTGTCCCATTCACAACTATTTGAAATAATCATTCACAACCATTTGCTCATTCTTTGATAATACGTCATGGGTTCAAAATTTCCAATTTTCATCTTCAACATATTTTCAATTATTTCGTGCTGGGTCGGGCTGCATCTATTTTATATGCACTTGTCGGTCTCACCATGTATATAATGGACTTGCGCGTGAGTAAGGATGTTAACTTCATCTACATTGTTGATTCATTCTCTAATAACTTCACAAGCCATCCTTCACTTCATTTGTTCTTTCAAATAAGATGGGGGGCATTCTTCACTTCATTCTTCTTCCCCAAAACATACGACATTTTAAATTTATGTGCCACCCCACTAAGCAATTATGCCCACCACGTCTTACAGAATTCAACTTTGTAGAGAGCACCAAGCCCCTGTATTTGCGCTCTTGCTCTCATGGGACAATTCCTCCCTCTACAAGATATTGGATAGTATAATGACTGTATTCATTATTATTATATTTTCTGCATCATTAAACAAACAAAGAAATCCATTTTTTAATCTCCAGAATGATGACTTTTGGTGCTTTTGGCTGAATGCCACTGTCATAAAGTGGCAAACACAAGGGCCCAGAAAGACCCCCCCTTCTTTTCTGGTATTGGTATTTGGCATTTGGCATGAGGCTTCTGGGAGAGCCAACCCTTTGGGGTTTTTTATAATTCAAAATTTCAAACCTTTGAAGAAGAAAAAGGAAATTTGTGTCAGAAGTACCCCATGTAAACTGTTCAAACTTCAAACACATTGTATTTTGTTTGAAAAAAGAAAAAAGAATGAGGCAAACCACATTTTCTTTGAATCTTTGAATCTTTGAATCTTTGAATCAGAAAAAGAAATTCATTTTCTCTGTTAAAAAAAAACAGAAGGAGAAGAAGAAGAAGCCCTCTCTGTGCTTTTTATATATATTGGACTGGTTGACAGGCTATGCGGGGACAAGTGCCAAAGTTAATATAAAGAAGAAGATACTATCCATGTTTAGCTGCATTACTAAATCACATTCGGATTCCCAGAACCTTGTTTTAATCCTTTTTATCGTTATCTTGTCCTGCTTTCAGACAGAGAGAGACAGAGGTGTGCTGTTTCTTTACCTTCTTTGGAATATGCAAATCCTAGACAGGTCTTCAAAACAAGAAACTGGTTTTCTTTAGTTTGAGGTGTATGTGTTAAAAAAATCAAATAAATTATTGCTGCCCAACAAGCTTTATAGGGAAGGTTTGCTTCTGACGGTGGTTATTCGCGTGAATAACTATCAACCATTGATGTGTATAACTTGGTCGACAATCATTCATCATGCACATTGATACAACTGGTACATATAATGCATCTTTTTTAACATTTCATATGGCGATCACATGATCAATTAGTGCATGAAGAACGTTGTATATACTCATTGTGTAGAACTAATTAATGTTAAAATTTCCCAATATACCATTTGGTAAACAAAACTCAATAAATAAATTTAGTGATGGTAGAAGCACTTAAATTTATGTGTGAGCAATTGAGCTTAATAATTTTATTATTTTTGGTGATAATAATTGACCCCAAGGTCAAGTTAAAGGGAAGATGGTGCAACCAACTTGAATGATTGGCTTTAGCCCCATGGAAACAGAGCCATGACTAATCTCAATTGCCTCACTCTGGTAACAGTTGAGCTTATAATGAATGCTATAAATCAAATGTCTGCATCAAAATCTTCAATCTTCGTACTGTGATGCTATCAAAGAAAAGCATACATGCCATACATATATTATCCACATTAAATTGCTCCAACAACCACTCTTTTGAGCACCCCCTATGGGAGTTTCTGCATTTTTAATATTGACACCTAATATTTGCTTGCAGATTGCAAGCTGTGAACAAACTTTTATAATTTATTCCTGGATGATTGAATTTATAAAAGCAGTGGGTTAGGTAATATTTAATATATGAGAACAAAAATGGTTTCAATGCTTGCAATTAGTATTAGGATTGTACATGAGGTATTTCCAAAGTTAATGATGATGATTTTCTGTTCAATGGGGTTTTCCATATTCTTCATTAGGATTTCACACGATCGTTAGTTGATGTAAATTCATGTCAATCAATAATTATTAATCACTGTAACGTCTGTGGAAGATTAATATTAACAAATTTATAGTATTTTATCCTTCGAAGATGACCATTGTTGGAATTGCAAAGTTTTACCAAACGTATTCTTGATGAGGTTAGAATCCAAAACAATGAACTACGCATGTATATGAGTGACAATGATATTTTCCTACAAACAAAATATGACAAACCACCTTTCACCAAATAAAAATCAAATGATGTCTTAATGCCTAAAAATTTTCATTCATCACTTGAAACCACAACCTCTACCATTCCTCAAGAGGCAATCCAACAATCTCAAGTCTCATGACCACCATCCCAATTAGATAGCAACTTATTAGCTACTTGGTTGGTAATTGCCAATACTGCCCAATAAAGTTTCTCATCTTTACAAACTCACCCCCCACAAATAGTCAAACACTACCAAACATAGACCCTTGTCACTATTCTCTGTACAAAGTCCTTCCCAAAGTGGTCATGTGGGAACCAGGTTTTGCTCATCGTACCCAAATTCGGACAGTTTTGGTTGGACACTTAGGACACATGGGTATTTAAAATGATTCCAATTGCAACCCATATTCCCAGTTGCCCTTTTACCCATTTCAATCTTTGTCCACCGGTTACCGGCTAAACCTGTTATTTTTCCGAAATTCGAAAAAGAAAATTGCAAAATTCGAAAAAGGAAAAAGGAAAAACGGAAAATTCATCATGCAATTATACGAGTCCTTTTTCGTCATTTCGCATATTCCTTTTAGTTTCCACTTTCGTCGTCCTCTTTCTGTGTTCTGAGTCCTGAAACTCTGCAGCAGAGGGACTCAGCAACAGCAGAGAGAAAGAGAAAGAGAAAGAGAGAGAGAGAGAAAACCGAGCGGAGAAACACGAAACGCTTCGAAACGCAACCGTAGGAGAGCTAATTTTGTTCATTTCTCTCTCATGGAGAATCTCTCGCATTCTCGGCATCCAAACAGGTCTTCTTCGGCGAAAATGATCAACAATGGCGGCTTCTTAGGGAAGACGCTGTACGACGACGTATATGGCGGCCCGCCGAAGTTCGGCCTCTCGTCTCTCTCGCCTCGTATGGAGGACTACAGCGAGATTTTCGGGAGCTTCCACGCGTCACGCGCCTCTTCGATTCCGGTGCTCGATGTTCCCGTTGTCGACCAAAACGAGGTCTTCTTCGATGTACGGAGCTCCGGTTTCGACTACGGCGAGGTTTTCGGGGGCTTTAACGGTCTGGATTTCGCGGTTGCGTACGACGACCTGGTTAACCAATCTAAGGGTGGAGATGGTGACTGTGATTCCTCTGATGAAGCTTGGTATGTATGATCATGCATGCATTTATTTGCTTAAATTTGTTAGCTTTTGGTGCTTTCATTTGTGAAATTTTCAGTCAAAATGTGTGCAAAATGTGTCTATAAATTTTTTTTTTTTTTTTTTTTTTTTTTTTTTTAAATGTGTTTAAGAAGTATTTGGTATTTAGTATATATGTTGGGTTTTTTTAATAGCTATTTTGTGGAACAATGTCTAAGGTTTTCAGCATTTTGGGGAACATCTATGTGTTTCTACGTTTGTGGGTTTTAAGTAGGGACTCGAAACTGGGGGACCAAAACAAAGTCTTGGGGATTAAGGTATTTGGGCTAATTTTGACGGGACAATTAATAACCAGTGAAACTTTGATCTGGGTTTTTTGGGTTCTCTAAGTAAGGAAATAGTGTCCTAGGGGAAATTGGATTGAAGTAATTTTGACTTCTTTGATTGTAAAAAGGCGAGATAGTGTGTGTAAACTGGGCTTCAAGATTAACTTTCTTCTGTTAGGATCTCAGGGTTGTTTTGGTGCAAGGTTGCAACTGCACCACATATACAACATATGTACTAAAATATCTAATGAGTCTCTTTTTACATGAAAGTGTGAAAAGATTAAGAAACATAAATGTTTTGTGTATGTTTGTAATACTAAATGAGATTTAAAAAAAAGGTAGTTTGACTTAATTTGAACCTAATGACGCTAGAATTTGATGTTAGAGTATGTTTGTCTTGCTTCCTCATTCATAGGACTCCTGCAGAATCTGGGTCTCTGTCGGAAGGATCAGATGATTCCGGCAAGAACCAATGCTTTTCAAATGGAGATCCTTTCCAGTCATTTGATGGCAGTACAGAGTTCAGCATATCATATCACACCGCTCATCAAAAAAGCAATAAAGATTCTTTGAACGGGATGACGCATGTAACTCGGGCACATGTTCCTGGATACACTTTTGTGCTGGATGAAAACATTCCTTTGCAACAGACAGAAAATGAGAATCCAATCTTGCAAGTGACTGATGATAGCAAGTTAAGTATGAACTGTAACATGGAAAGGGTGAACGAAAAGCATCTAAAAAAGACCATGTCACACCCCCCTAATGGTAGTTCTTCTGGACAGGCATTTGGGGACAACCTTAATCCTGAAAGGGGATATGATAGAAATGGTTCTCATCATAAAAAGCCTTTTGTAACTATATCAGACATAAGCCTTAGAACTCAGCCCTCTCATTTGCCACCACCATCTCGACCACCACCCATAGTAGATGGAAACAGTGGAGATTCCGGTAGATTGTCTTCAAATTCTGACACTGTAGCTTCTGATGGGACTACAGGTGATAGTTCACCTCCTTTCTTTGATGTAGAGGTAGATGCAAGTTCATCTGCTGCAGTATCTGCAGCAGCTATGAAAGAAGCAATGGAGAAAGCCAAAGTACAATTGAAAAGTGCAAAAGAGTTAATGCAGAGGAAGAAAGAGGGTTTCCAAAGGCGTACGAAATCGGGGTCAAAGAAAGAAATGAAAGAGAAAGAAAGAAAGGTGGGTGAAATTGTTGATGGTTCCAACAGTATGAAAGATGATAGAGAGCAGGGCACTTCTGAAAGAGAAGACAGTGGAATGAAATTTGCTGTTAGGAAGGAAAGGCAAAAGGTGTTGAAGACAGCCAGAGAAGTTCCAGAATCTCTAGAAGATGAAAATTCATTAAATGTGGCTAAAAATTTTGCACAAGAGAAGCATGGGAAGGGATCTTGGTCATCTCAGGGGTCTTTCAAAATTGATGAAGCTAGTGAATGGCAAGAAGCAACTCAATATTTTGAATTGGTGGCAATAGATGAGTCCAGGAAGGCTTTTGAGCAGGAAAACAAAGAGAAGATTTTGGTTCAGAACAGAAAAAGTTATGAGCATAGGCAGAAAGAAAAAGCAACGATGGAAGCATTGGTTCAGCAAGAAGAAAATGATAAGAAAGCAAGAGCAGCTATAGAAGAAGAATTAGGGAAGCAACCTCGTGAATGGGAGGAATGCAGTGCAAAATTAAAAGCTGCTAAAGAGGCATGCAGGCGAAAAGAGCCTGAGAAAAAGGTGAAAGTGACTCATGAAATTCATAAGGAGGGAAAGAATGAGATGAGTCCTAGCATGGGTACACTGCCTGCAGAATCTGAGAAGCAAAGAGACATCGTGGTAGAGGTTCCAGATAAAGAAATTAAGTTCAAAGTTGAGCAGGCCAGGAAGCAGAAAGAAAATGATAAAAGAATTAGAAGTGACAAAAGACTCAAGGAATCTTGTGGAAGGGAAGATTTTGAAAAGAGACAAGAAGAAGCTTTGGAGCAGGAAGAGAATGAAAGAAGGCTTAAAGAGGCGTTGAAACAAGCAGAAAACGAGAAGAGACTGAAGAAGGTTCTTGAGCAGAAAGAAAATGAGAAGAGGTTAAAGGTGGCTCTTGAGCAGGCAGAAAATGAGAAAAGGCTAAAAAATGCTCTTGAATTGCAAGAGAATGAGAGCAAATTAATAGAGGCTTTTGAATTGGAAAAAAAGAAGAAACAGAAAGAGGCTACTCAAAGAGAAGAAAATGAGAAGCGGCAAAAAGAAGCTCTCGAGAGGGAAGAGTATGAGAAGAGACAAAAAGAGGCTTTTGAATGGGCAAATAAGAAGAAACAGAAAGAGGCTGCGCAAAGAGAAGAAAATGAGAAGCGGCAAAAAGAAGCTCTCAAGAGGGAAGAGTATGAGAAGAGACAAAAAGAGGCTTTTGAATGGGAAAATAAAAAGAAACAGAAAGAGGCTACTCAAAGAGAAGAAAACGAAAAGCGGCTAAAAGAAGCTCTCGAGAGGGAAGAATATGAGAAGAGACAAAAAGATGCCCATGAAGGAGAGGAAAGTGAGCAAAGATTTGAAATGGCCTATGCTCGGGATCAGCAATATGACAAAAAAGGATTAATGGAGGCCAAGGACATAGAAGGAACTGATGTAACATTAAAGGAAGTGTTTGGGCAAGTAGAAAATCAGAACATAAGAAAGGCTAGTGATTCGGAACAGACTGGGAAGACTGTTAAAGTTGCTGGTGACTGGGAAGAACAGAAGGTCCTAAACAAAACAAATGAGGGAACAGAGAGGAATGAAAATGGTCAGGAACCAAGATCAGTTAAAGGCTTGCACATGGAAGAGGGGGATCTAAGGGTATCTGATGAAACATGTAACCAAGGTTGTAATAAGGACTCTCAAGCGACTCAAATAGCCAGCAAACATGATGAAAACAGTGAAACAACGGAAGCAACTCAAAAGGCCCCCACTCATGAAGAAAATGGAGAGAAAAGGACTGAACACAAAATTAGTGATACACAACCAGAAGTAACTGAACGAGTAAGTGTGTCAACTGACTTAAAATTCAAAGCATCTAAAGTTTCCCTAGAGGATTTAGAAAATGGAGAGAACCGGTTCAGAAGGGAAGACTCCAATGTTTCTCTTCCTTTAGATGATAGTGTGAAGAAAGCAAGGGAAGAAATTAGGGCTGAACCTAAAGCTAGCAAAAGGGAATTGGGGGAATTTGAAATGGAAAATGTGCAGGTTGATGAAAAGTTCAAAGCATCTGGCATGGCCCAAGGAGAAATAGAACGCGGGAATTGCCAAGTTAGAGTGGATGATGCCTACGAGTCAATTCCTTTAGATAAGCACACGAAGAAGGCAGGAGAAGCTGGCAGTGGCATTGTACAACCACAAGTTGAGCAATTTAAGAGTACCTCTCGAATGGATTTTGATCATGAAACTAAAAAGATGGAATTTGTTCAGGAATGGAAAGAGGGTGAAAAGGACTTGAAGGGAGTCCAAGCTGGCTCAAGTCGGGAAGAAAACAAGACAGCGAACTCAACCCCTGAACCGGTGAAAGAGTTTGTTGAAAATAAAAGGAAAACAGAAGCAGCTTATCCAGTCATGGTAGAAGTAAACAGCCAGAAATCATCTCAGCAAGTTAATTCAAGCCAGGTGCCAGAGAGAAAAGATAAGAATCTTAAAGAGACCCTTAAAAATGGGGAGAAAGAAACTGAAAGGTTGAAAAGAGAAAGAGAGCTCGAAAATGATCGCCTTAGAAAGATAGAGGAAGAAAGAGAAAGAGAGCGGGAAAGAGAAAAGGATAGGATGGCTGTTGACAGAGCAACACTTGAAGCTCGCGAATGGGCATATGGGGAAGTTCGTGAGAGGGCTGAAAGGGCTGCTATGGAGAGAGCAACAGCTGAAGCTCGACAAAGAGCAATGGCAGAGGCTCGTGAAAGATTAGAGAAGGCATGCACAGAGGCCAGGGAGAAGTCAATAGCAGGGAAGGCAGCTATGGAGGCCAGGCTTAAGGCAGAGCGTGCTGCAGTAGAGAGAGCAACTGCAGAGGCCCGAGAGCGTGCTGCAGAAAAAGTAATGGCTGAAAGGGCTGCTTTTGAGGCAAGAGAACGAGTGCAAAGATCTGTTTCTGATAAGTTCTTTGTTTCTTCTAGAAATAACGGTTTGAGACATTGCTCTTCATCCTCGGTGAGTATTCTTTTTTCTGCTGGATTCGTCCCCCTTTTAATTAATTCATAATCTCCAACAGAAATCTAAAATGGCTGTTAATCCATAGGATCTACAGGACTCGCAATTTCAGAGCACTGGGGGTTCAAGATATCCATATTCCTCAGTTTATGCTGGTATGTGATTTGTAATGCTCCAGTGGTTATTTCATGCAAATCTTTCTTTAAGCTTTTCTTCAGTTTCCATTAACATTTGACTTATGCTTGGTTGGTTCTACATTAATGGTCTTTTCTGAAACTTTCTTCTATTACAAAGAGAGATATGAGGGAGTTGAAGGTGAATCAGCTCAAAGGTGTAAAGCAAGACTAGAGAGGCATGCTAGAACAGCCGAACGAGCGGTATGATTTTAAATCATTTATAATCTTTGAGCGGTTTAGTCTATACGGAAACATTATAATTTCAAGCTTTGTGGGACTGTTTCAGGCAAGAGCTCTTGCAGAGAAGAATATGCGTGATCTTCTTGCACAAAGAGAGCAAGCAGAGAGAAATGTAATTATTCTCTCCACGTTAAATGAATTTCTGGAACTTTGAATTGTATTTCATTTCTCGCTGATTGGCTCGGATCTAATTCTATTTGCAGAGATTAGCCGAGAATCTGGACGCAGATGTCAGGAGGTGGTCAAGTGGAAAAGAAGGCAACTTGCGTGCATTACTTTCGACTTTGCAATATGTAGGTGTCATTTGAGCTACATGTGTTTTGCAATTTGTAGGTGTTATGATGTTTAGGCTCTAGTGTTGGGAACTTGAACTCATTTTTCTTCATTGGCAGATCCTTGGGCCTGATAGTGGTTGGCAGCCTATTCCCTTAACGGATGTCATAACTGCTGCTGCTGTAAAGAAAGCTTACAGGAAGGCCACTCTTTGTGTTCATCCTGACAAGTTGCAACAACGGGGTGCAAGCATTCAACAGAAGTACATATGTGAAAAAGTTTTCGATCTTCTAAAGGTGCGTTAACCACCATTTTCTTTTGTGGCTTGAAATAATTATAACCAGAACTGGCGGGACTTTTTCTCAAAGCATATATGAAAAAGTACAAGAAGTGGGTCTTGTTTGTGATTTCGTTTTCTTCACTTGTCTTATTTCGTTAGTTTTTTTGTTTTTGTGGGTTCACTACAGGAAGCATGGAACAAATTCAACTCAGAAGAGCGGTAACACAGGCTTTAAATATGCAGATATACTGCACATTATGTAATTTTATACCACTAGTAATTATATATATATATATATATATATATATATATATCCATGTAGTTTCTGTAGTAAGCTTTAAAAGCTCCAAAAATAGTTTTGCGGCAAATATAATTGAATGAAATATGGGTGTCGTATGTTCAAACTTGGAAGCCCCACCTGTTACTCTAAAGTACATTAAGCACAGAAGGCATACAAAAAGATTCCTTAACATCTCCACCAGGCCAAATTTAAATAAATTTCATTGAAAAAATTTCAGGAAAGGTGATTAGCTCTATTTAGAATGTGACAATTATCACGTCTGTTATGACCTCACGACATGCCGTGTGTGCTTTGCTGGTTTGGTTAGTTTGACCCTTTTCTTGTGGCGTTTCCGTGGTGTGTTTTTGTTTGCGTGTTGCTCTTTTACTTTTAACCCTTTTTTTAGTACAACAAGCGATTGGGAGAGGGAGTTTACGCATATATTCATTGGGTGTTTGGAGGCTTCGAACCTTTGCCCACATGAGATTGAGTTGGAAGAACTCAACCAATTAAGCTATACCTGATCATCTCACCTCAACCAATTGAATTATACCCCAGCTAACCTTTTCTTTCTTGGTTTCTCTTGTGGTGCCCCAAGTTTCTACCTTTCTTTGGTTTGTGTTACTTTTTTTATTTAAAAAACGAAAGAAAAAAGACACGTTGCATGACGCTTGCACCATTTTTATGAGCCATGTGTCTCTTCCGGCATTCGACCAAACGCTGGTGTCGTTATTCTTTAATATTTGCCGTATCAAGTTACTGTAATCTGTACTTTTCTCCTAACATATTGGAAGAGAGAGCAACCTAATTTCTTTATTTTATAATATAATCGGGCCTACCCTAATGCCCCGTGACCAAATTCATGACCACCTTAACTCGTCCTATACGCTTCCTTTGCCTTCCCGCGAAATGCAATTTCAAGGGCTTACACACCCACCACCTGTTCGATGAAACGTCTCAAAGAGATATCTACTCGCTAAACGCACTGCTTGCCTCTTATAACCGATATGGACAATTTTCCACCACATGGGTTCTCTTCTCTTGCATTCATCGCGCGAAATCCGACCTCAATGCGTACACTTTCACTCCAGTATTGGGCGCGTGCAGGGCGTTGCCCCGCCCCGAACGCGGCAGACAAGTCCATGGTCTTATGATCAAGACGGGTGCTGAGTCAGGAACTGTGGCTAAGACTGCCGTCATGGACATGTACTCCAAGTACGGGTATTTGGAGGACTCTGTTAGAGCTTTTAAAGAGATGGAGTTCAAGGATGTTGTGACTTGGAACGCTTTGCTTTCTAGCTTTTTGAGGCACGGGCTTGCTCGAGAAGCGCTTGGTGCGTTTGAAGCAATGAGGGTGGAAAGAGTGGAGATCAGCGAGTTTACTTTGTGTTCTCTGCTTAAAGCTTGTGCTTCTTTGAAGGCCTCTCCACAAGGCAAGCAGGTTCATGGGATGGTGGTTGTGATGGGCCGTGATATGTTAATTTTGGGTACTGCTTTGATTGACTTTTACTCTGCTGTTGGGTGTATTAGTGAAGCCATGAAAGTGTTCTGCGGCTTGAATTGTAGAAAGGATGATGCAATGTTCAATTCTTTAGTTGCAGGGTGTGTTCGGAATAAGAAGTACAAAGAGGCATTATCGATTATGTCTACAATGAAACCCAATGTAATTGCACTCACTAGCGCTCTTACTGCCTGCTCTGAGAATTCAAATTTGTGGATTGGAAAGCAGATACACTGCGTGGCGATGCGTCACGGGTTCACATCCGACACACAAATGTGCAATGTTCTGCTAGACATGTATGCAAAATGTGGGAAAATTTCAAATGCTCGATCCTTGTTCAATGGAATTTCTAACAAAAATGTAGTTTCATGGACAAGCATGATTGATGCATATGGAAGTCATGGAAATGGGCTGGAAGCTCTTGACCTGTTCAAGAGGATGGGGGAGGAAAGAAGTGAAGTCTTGCCTAATTCTGTGACTTTTCTTGCTGTTCTCTCAGCTTGTGGGCACTCGGGGCTGGTGGAGCAAGGCCGGGAGTGTTTTAATTCGGCCCCGGAGAAGTATGGCTTGGACTTGGGTCCAGAGCACTATGGCTGCTTCATCGATATGTTAGGCCGGGCCGGTCAGATAGATGAAGTGTGGTGTGTGTTTCAGGACATGGTTGAGCATGGCATTAGGCCTACAGCAGCAGTGTGGTCAGCATTGTTGAATGCTTGTGGCCATAATCTCGATGTTACAAGGGGTGAGGTCGCTGCAAAGCATCTTTTGGAGTTGGAGCCAAATAAGCCTGGGAATTTTGTGCTGGTATCAAATTTTTATGCAACCATTGGAAGGTGGGATTCTGTAGATCAATTGAGAAGCATTATGGAGATGAAAGGACTGGTTAAGGAAGTTGGAAGTAGCTGGGTCACTGACTCGAAATGCCATGAAAGTGATTTTACATAATTTGATTGAAGGCAGAATATGATTATATTTCCCGCGACATAATGTAAAAACCGTGAACTGAATCGATCAAGTCCGGTCCAGTCCCATTTTTAGTCAAAAGCTGACTTTTTTTTTAGTCAATACGGTTTTTTTGACTTTCTCACCGGCGTTTTTTTTTAAATAGTACAAGCGATAGTTTAAAGACTATAACGGAGGGGAGTTTCTCATACACACACAATCAAGATGTCGAGGGGTTTGAACTTGAGATCTATTTTCTTGAAATCAATGCGCTTTTTAATTAGGTTAGACCTCGTCAGTTCCCTAACTATATTAAAATTGTGTAAATTGTGAGGATGTATTAAAATTTAAAAATAGTACAGTATTTGGTTGGTTAATAAATTGGACAATGAAAGAACAACGACTGAGATGCACACATGATCACAAGAGTAAGTAATTCATGTTTGGTAGGGTTGACACAAGCCAAATGTGAACGCTAGTTCAACTTTAAATTGAGCGGCTCCAAATAAAACCAAGTCTGCCGAGATATTAAAATGATATGAGAATCTAAGCCTACCCCAGGGCCCCACTTAGATTCAGAATCTTGATAACGTGGCTTTCTTTTTCTTTGACACACTGAACTGAATGTACAATATAATTAACGCACGGCAACGGCACTGATTAGAACATAATATTTAATTTATCACAAATATATATTGTCGTTCGTTAGTTGAACACGAGACCTCTAACAAAATAAAAACAACTACCATTAAATCAAAAGTTAGTTGATTCGGATTGTAACTTTGAATATGAAAAAAAGGTAGTAGATGCTGTTGAATATGTTAAGACATTAAGGAAGAAAAAAAAAAGACATGCCAAGATTGTGTTACCTTAAACTAATGTTAAAACCTACTTTCTGTTTTACTTACCAAACTTCATCGAGCTTCTCATTCAATTAAAAAGTAAATGGGGTAGAAAAGAAAGAGTTGAGTGAAAGCCAAGGAAAATAAAATAGTGTTGATGTTTCAAAGCAACCAAGGAAGAAGAACAAGCCTATAAGACTGATTCCCACTTGACAACGGGCTCATTCTGGCGTCTACCCCAAGCCAAAAGTCTCAACCTTGACCCCGCCGAAGTGCCAACCGCCTCCAAACACACGGCCCCATTCAAATAAGTGAAATAGCAACAACAAACGACGTCGTCCCTGCCATGTGGAACACAATTAACACATGAAGGATCTCGAATGCTTTGGGCTTTTCCATCATACATTACACACAAGAAACCTTGCAGGCGACTGTGTCATGGTCACCACGACATTTATGGTATCTTTACTAATTGTAATTGAATTAGGAGGAATTGAATTGAAGAGGAGTTGGATTATATTATAAATTTCTATTGAAATTGTTTACTAAACTATATGGATTGAGGAGAGTTAGATTCCGGATTCCAATTGAAGTTGTTTATTAAATCATATAGAATTGGAGTATGTGCGGTACTAATTACTAAAATGCCCTCGTTGTTAAGTTAAAGTATATTGTAAATTTGGAAATTTTAAAATTGTGTGAGGATATAATGGGTAAAAAATATGAATTCCTAATGGGTTAGTTATTCAAGAATTAGAATACCACCTTCCACCAAAAAATTGAATTCCTTTAAAATCAAGAATTTAATTCTTAAAAAACAACAATTATATCCCTTTTATCTTCCTTCAATCTAAAATGTGATTCAAAATAAAAACCAACACGTGTTCCAAGGGCTAGTTTTAATTTAATCTAATTTTGAATTTTGCATATATAAGTTAAGTGAGTTGGCTAGGATAGTGAGACCGCTTCTCTCGTCTCAAATGCGAGTTTACCTCTTCCTAAATTAGATTAATTTATTTCCAACCCAAAAATAAATAAAATTAAAAATAGTTTTACACCGTGGTTTGTACTATAAAAAATCTTAAATTTTGAAATAAATAAATAATATAAGAAGCAAAATCTTGGTGGACACTTCGACGTTCGTAGCCTCCAAGAAAAGGAAAGAGGCGTTTGAAATATTTGCGGGGACCGTGTGTGAGCGAGACCAAATAGCGAAGTAGCACAGAGAAAAAGAGGCGGTCGTTGCGATAGAGTCTCTATAGAGATTCAGACAAAAACAAATATTTACCCAAAAAAAAAACAGGAAACCTGGAGAGGCTCATCATCTTGGTGACGGAAGAAGGGCGGTGATGACTGGCGATCCCCAAAATATCAGAGCCCATAAATACCTAGAAACTAGATAATGGTGCTTTGCAATTGCAATTGCATCACCCTCTTCTCTCTCATCCCTCCCTCCCTCCTCTCACCTGAACCGCTTCCCCCTCACTCTCTCCTCCTTCCTCGGCTCCACTGGTACGCCTTTGTTCTATTTCCGATCTTCGTTTTCTGTTCTTGTTTCTAGTTTTCCTGTTTGAATCTTGTTTGCTTTTTTTTTTGAACTTTTTTTCGTGTTTGGTTGCTGAGAATCGGCGCCTCCACGAAAATGGGAGGCTTTTCTGATTTTTCCCAGGAACCAAACATAGCTTTACGCTCTTCCAGATTCGGTTTATATGATTATTTTTGTGTGTGGTTATTTTTTATGTTTTGATCGACCGACCACCTACTTCTTCCGGATATATAAAAAAAGAAGGAAAAAAAAAATGTGCTTTAGGTTTTTACTAGCTTCCTAGCAATTAAAGGAATTAGAGATGTTTGGTTTTGGGATGTTCAATTGATTTGGTAATAACAGCTAGGGTTTTATTTTTGTTGTTGTTGATTTGCATGTTTGATGATAATTGTGATGCAGAGCCATGCCGACTTTCACTGTCGTAGCTTTAGATAGGTTATTAGAACCTGGAACTTCTTCCAAATCCGTTGACATGTCTTCTCTTCCGAATTCCAAGCCTATTTCAAATTCAATGCCGGTTCCTGAGTCCAAGCTGGAGAGAAGGAACAGTACCTCAGTTGTGGAGAACAGGCTTCATCGACCTCCAATGAAGCCAGCCCTCTATGCTACTCCTGAGGCCACCCCACTCCCTGATTCGCCTACTTCCTTCCCTCCCTCGCCTTACATCATCAACCACAAGCGCCGAGGCCCTCGCCTTCTCAAGAGTTATTCCGAGCAGGACGTGTCCATACACCAGAAGGCCGGAAATGAAGAGAAACTCAATGGGGATGTTAACAATGCAGAGGCCAAGTTGTCGAGTTCAACTGTGGATGATTCAGCTACTTTTACTTTTCCCAAGCCTGTTGAAGTGCAACATTTGAATGGCTTTCATCATTTTGAAAGCAGCAATGGGAAGCTTGGGACAAGTAATGGGAAACTTAGAAGCAGTAAGGTGGAACTGGGTAGTAGTAGTGAGCGTGAAGATAGCTTCCACGAGTCAAAACAGAGAAGCAGTAACGTGGAACTAAGTAAAGATTCGGATAGGGATGATGATATGTGGAAGCAACCTGCGATGACTCCAGAAAGAGATAGTGACCGTGAAGATTTCTTTGATCCGAAAGACTCCATGAGTGTCTCAAGTTACACAGATGGAGAGGTAAATGCTGGGGCAGAGCGTTCTGCGCAGACCAGTACTCCCATGGGGGAGTTCTATGATGCTTGGGAAGGTATGTAGCTTTATTTTTTTGGTAAAATTTATTTCCTTCCATTTGTTTGTATGTTTTAACTATCTTGATTATGTTATATCCATATATCCGAGAATTACTGCACATCATGATTGAAGATTGGAACATACTGGTTTTGCCGTTGGTTGGTGTCTTAAGGACATAGAATTTGGTGCATTTTTCTTTGCCCCTCTCTCTATATATATTGTAGGTTTGTGCAATTGTTGGTATCATATCGTTTTCAGCTCTTATGTCAATTTGGATTTGTGTTGAGAGCATCAACTGTAACTCTACCTATTTAATTAATCGTGTTAGATGACTTGACTCATTTGTTAACTGTCTTGTTTTGGTTGACATACATATTTCATGAATTAGATACTCAAGATTGGGATCCTTTCTCCTTAAACCAAACTCAATACTTGTCATACAGTAAAAACGACCCAATCCAAATAAAAGCAAAAGTTGAAAATCAAGGGCAAGAAAATATAGTTCTAAAACAACTCATACAATACCAAGAAAATGAAAGAAATAATTTTAAAAAAATAAAAGAGATAAAACGTTTTCTTCAAACAATACTAGTTAAGATTTCATGTCGAAATAGGAATTTCGTGTTCAGAATTAATCTAGTGCATTTGGCATTCACATATGTTGTGTTATTTTCGGATTCATTAGCTAACTCTAACTTGTCCTACCCAAAAAAGATAGTAAGTCGGAACTTGTTAATTTTGTATTGGGTTCAAGTTGTGTTACTGTGTCATGTTGAAAGTTAATTTTTCGTGTTTTGCCGAAAAATGACATCCCTATCTTTTTGTGGCCTATAAATGTTGCATTATCTGTGAGATTAGCACTAAGTCTCTAATTATGATTAAGGGCACGAACATGCTGTTTCCCCTTGAAATATCAGAGTATGTGAAATTTCGAAATGGCATAGAAGGGAAATTAAAGTATAGCATTCTGTGCATATGTTCTGTATGTGTGATATCCTATGCATTATAAGTCCACCTAGTTTCTCCTGTTCTGAAGTTTGGTTAAAAATTACAAAAGGATTTCCCAAATTTGTAGATTTTATTCTTCAGTTTTCGGTAATCCACCTTGCTCTACATGTGCACTATTGGTGATTATTTTTTCAGTAAAGCTTACTTTTACTGTTACTTTGTATAGAACTTTCATCTGAGAGTGGGCATGGGCAGCAGCTTTCCGTTTCTGATGTTGAAGCTGAATTACGTGAAATGAGATTGAGTCTTTTGATGGAAATAGAGAAGCGGAAGCAAGCAGAAGAATCCTTGAATAACTTGAGAAACCAGTGGCAGAGGATTAGGCAACATTTATCTCTTGTAGGATTGACACTCCCTGCAGATCCCACTGCTGCAGCAGGGCTTGAGGAACTAGGTTCTGATCCTGCAGAAGAGTTGTGCCAACAAGTTCACCTTGCTAGGTTTGTATCAAATTCTATTGGAAGGGGCATAATAAGGGCTGAGATGGAGATGGAGATGGAAGCTCAGATTGAGTCAAAGAACTTTGAGATTGCTCGGTTGGTGGACAAACTCCGTAATTATGAGGCTATGAATCAGGAAATGGTTCAGAGGAATCAGGACGTTCTCGGTGAGATTTTTATACTTTATGCAGTTGTTTATTTCTTGATTCCTAAGGCTTTAGTTCCCTTTTAGAGACAACGTTATGTTGTTAAATCATAATCCTTCACAAGGTCTGCTTCAGTTGAACTCTGTAATTTTCCCCATGCTTAACCTGTAACCCTCTGTAGGTTTGAACGTATTGTTTCATTAGTTAGTGGGTTCAAAGTAACAGGACAGCCCATTCCTTGACAAAATGCAACTTCTCTATCGACGTAATATTAACAGTTTTCTCTGTGTGGCCAAATATTGACTACCATGCACCTGTGCATCCATACCCTACTCAATGTACATTAGTGCAAGTTCTCTGTTTCCAACTGTAGTTTAGGTCTTGTTGGAAATGCCTTGCGTTATTATCTCATGTATGTTTTTCTGTTTGTTTTCATGTAGAGCTGGCACGGCGTGACAGGGAGAGAAGGGAAAGAAGACAGAGGTGGGTCTGGGGCTCAATTGCTGCTGCCTTAACTCTTGGTACTGCAGCCTTGGCATACTCTTATATCCCGTCTGGTAGGGGATCGCCAAACTACGATTCTGAGGTTCCTGAGAGTCATAATGCAGGCAAATGATAATCACCTTATTAGCAACCTGACCCTATGCCATATAACAAAAGGAGAGAATAAAAGGTCTTTTATACGCCACACCCTTTGTGGATAACATTCTCTTGCTCTTTTACTAGTTAGAGTTTCATTTGATCTGAGGATGTACAGTTCTACAAAAATAATTCAAGTTTTGCCCGTCACTGGCATTTGGGAAGGTTTATAGATCATGAATAGGATGATCAGTCCTTGTTTAAAGTCTACATTTCGGCTTCAGGATGTCTTGAAGCGTTTATATGCCGTTTATGCGCACGTAATTTGCTGCCATTGAAGTTTTGCTCTGATTTACTTATTTTTGTTGAGTGTAAGGTATTTTGAAAATTCATAACAGGCTAACAGGAACATACGGGTATCAGTTTCTTGGTGCCTTAGTCACTAGAAATGTGCCTTTCATGGTGCTCCACAGCCCTATCTAAATTCGGACTTACAGGAAAATGCCATTATATCATGCAGTTTCACTTGCCCTTTTCGAATTCGGCTATATGTTTCTGCAGTTTTCCAGTTAAACTGATGATGGTTTCCAATTGTTTATCAATTCTTTCTTGTAATAAAAGAATGCAAGTGTTTCCAAATTTCAAAACCAAACGTAATTACACTTTCAAGTATACAATAGCTGTAAAAGAAAGTAGTCCAGTCTATGAATGTCGTTAATTTGCCCCATCTTTTAAATTGTCTGATATATCAAGATGGTTTCCGAAGAGCGTTTTTGCGGTTCATAGGTTTTAGCCTAACCTTGAAAGGTATGTTATAATCACCAAAAATATATACATTTCTGAGTTTAATACGAAGATTGTCTGCATGAGAGATGGATTAACCACATATTTAGTGTGATAATCAAATATTATAATATAAATAAACGACAAGTTTATGGTCTAGGGTACAGTAAAGTAACGAGGTCAATGAGTCAAAGGCAATAAAGAAAAACTGGCAAAAAAAAGGGTCAAACGACGTCGCAACAATTTTATCCAGTAGTGGAAGATAAAACAGAGTGGAGGAGTTATCAGAGACACTGGAGCTCCGACAATGGAGCTAGCTCTACACATGTCCGCTTATTTTTGCAGAGAGAACTCTCTAACCCATTACTGCCACTCCAATTTCCTCACAACCCAAGATTACCAAAAGACTCTTTTTCCTCATTTCACCAGAAAATCCCAATTGCAGCAGCCTAAGAATCGAATAAACAGGACTTCGAAAATTGTGGCTTCAGCCACAAAACAACGGCTTTGGATTAGCGAACAACAGCAAGGCCAAGAAGAAGAAGAAGAAGAAGCGGAAGAAGAAGAGGAAGAGGATGAGGAAGATGAAGAAGAAGAAGAGTACGCTTATTCGGAGGACGAGTCATCATTGTTGTCTCTGAGTGTGAAGCCTGACAGGAGCATAGCTTTGCTCGATGAATATGAGATAGAGGAGCTTGACTATGCCATCGACCCTAACCATAGAAGTGGTAAAAGTCTCTTCTGGGCTTTCTTTAATTTTGTTTTTGAGGGCTATGTCCTTGTTTCGTAGTTGTGAATTTTGTTGAGTCAAATGCAGGGTATGTGGCTGTTCTGGGAAAGCCAAATGTAGGGAAAAGTACTCTTTCAAACCAAATGGTTGGTCAGAAGTTGTCCATAGTTACTGATAAACCTCAAACTACTAGGCATCGAATTCTTGGTATATGTTCTGGCACAGACTATCAGGTTTGGTTTAATTTATTTTATTTTTGGTTGAAATTTTAGCTGGTAGTATTATTTGTTTTGTTTCAGTTGCATTTTGTATAAGTTATTGACTTCTTATGGAAAAACTGTGAGAAATGTATAGAAGGAAACATAGAGGAAATGGTACCTATGGTAAAGTTTCTGAGGTTGGGGGAATACCCACGTGTGGTTTCCCGAGCAGTGTTTTTGCTTCTGTATTCATATTTTTATGTTCAAGATTTAAATTTGTGAAGGATAGTTTATGGTCCTGGGTTTTAGTTATCTCGTCTGATTTAGAGCTGACTAGTCAAATCTTCTTTTAGACACAAGTAATACCTTCTTGATGCTTTCTGAAGTTGTGGTGATATCTTTGACATAGTGATTTGTTTGCAGATGATACTTTATGACACACCGGGTGTTATCGAGAAGAAAATGCACAAGTTGGATTCTATGATGATGAAAAATGTTCGCAGTGCTGTCATTAATGCAGATTGTGTACTTGTTCTTGTTGATGCATGTAAAGTGCCTGAAAAAGTATGCTTCTTCATTTGTAGGATTGTATATGAAACTTATTCCTCTTGTCCTTAGATAATTTTCTCATTTATAGATCGATGAAGTGTTGGAAGAAGGTGTTGGTAACCAGGAAGATAGGTTGCCGCCCACTTTGCTGGTGATGAATAAGAAGGATTTGATTAAGCCTGGTGAAATTGCAAAGAAACTAGAGGTCAGTATATTTTTATTTATATCTATGTAGGCATTTATAATTACACATGTAATTCTGGATCTTGTTGTTTCAGATATTTTTTAAAGCCTAAGTAAGAATCACATTTTTGCAGTGGTATGAGAAATTTACAAACGTTGATGAGGTCATACCTGTGAGTGCTAAACATGGGCAGGGAGTGGAAGACGTCAAGCATTGGATTTTATCAAAACTTCCTTTTGGGCCAGCATATTATCCAAAGGTACTTCGAATTTCATGTTTTAGGTTCATGGTTACCTTTCTTTCCTTTTGAAACTAAAGTCTTGGATGGTGTTCCTGTTTTATGGTCACCAATGCTTTATTCTTGCCTTATCCTTATCGCTATCCCAACCATTAGGAGTCAGGTGCAGAAATTGCATGAAGGTTATGAATGTCTTAAGATCATTTCTACAATACATAGCTTTATAAGGGTTACATAAAATTAAACAAGAGCAAGTCGCTTCAATTGTAAAGTGTCTGGCTTTGGTTTTTTAATGCTTTACATCCTAAAGAAGAAAGCTACATTGGTGTTAAACTTTTGAAAAATTAGTTCCTTTGAAGCATGATCAAATATCTGTCTTCCATATTCAAATTCTATGTTTGAAATTAATACCTCTTAAAAATATCCAAAAGTGCTATTTTCATGTTTGGAAATACTTATCTTTGGTCTCTTTTTCTATGAGTTCTCAGGACATTGTCAGTGAGCACCCAGAAAGATTCTTTGTATCTGAAATTGTTCGAGAAAAGATCTTTATGCAATACCGTAAAGAGATTCCTTATGTGTGTCAGGTATGCGGTTGAGAAGCTCAAAAGATTTGGCTTGTGAGGAAGAGTACCCCGTCACTAGAGAGGGAAAAAGAAAAAGGATTATAATATTTCTAGTTGCCCTGCTCTTTTTTCTGTTAAATTTCCAGGTGAATGTCGTGAGCTACAAAACTAGGCCAACGGCGAAAGATTTTATACAAGTTGAAATTGTTGTTGAAAAGAACTCGCAGAAGATCATTGTTATTGGCAAAGTAAGTAATTAACCATTGTAGTATTTTGTTGGCTTGTTTAAACTATTATGAATTAATATGCTGGAAGACGAAATTTTCAAATGTGTTGTGCTCATGCTTGCAAAAAGACATGAAAATTGTATTGACATTACCTATTTTTATTTTCTTGATAAAAGATTTAATATGATGCATACACAAAGCTTTAGAGTTTTTACATGCCATCACTCTAGGAAGAGTGAGATCGATCACTGATTTTGTATCCTGAATTATTGTAGGAAGGGAGAGCTCTGAAGCTACTTGCAACAGCTGCACGGCTTGACATAGAAAATTTTTTACAGAAGAAAGTTTTTCTGGAGGTGCCAAGCTATACCATTACAATGTTTGGGAATCTTTCTGCATAAATATGTTAAATTTCGTTTAATTGGGCTTTGTCCTGCACTCTATGCATTCTGTCACTATGGCTCGTTCGGCTGCTGCATTATCTTCACGCACCTTTACTGGGTTTTGTGTCCTCTGTAGAAAATTTATAAAATAACTCACGCTTTGAACAGGTTGAAGTGAAGGTTAAAGAGAACTGGCGGCAAGATGAAGTGCTTTGAAGAATTATGGCTATGGAGGTCAAATTCAAGCATTATGATGTCAGGGCCAGCGGAGAACACAATTGAGGATTGCCGTATCATTTAAGTTCCATGACTGTATGTCATCTCTGAAATTGTTTTGATGTTGTTGATTAGCATAGATGCCTCCCATTTCTTTTTGTTAGCTGGAGTAAGGTATAGTTGTAATCTCATTGGGAAGATAGTTTGAAGCATTCCTGTAAGCATGGCATGGCATTTTCCCAAGGCCAAGATTTTGTTACTTATCAGCCCCCCCAAAAGATGGTTTTGTTATTTGCAGAACTCTCTCTCAAAGAGCCTTGGGCCTTGAGTAATTCTATGGATTCATGATATGAGGAGAGAGCCCAGCTGCAAGTTTCAGTTTCCATTGGTAGCCCATCAGAAAACTTAAAGCCCACTTCTGGAATCTGATCTTGTTCAGCCCAGGCTTTGTGAAGCTCCATATGCGCAAGTTAGTATTGTGCTTACTGCAATGTGCAAACATACGCAGAATGGCCCACAAAATGGAGAAAAACTTATCTATACCAGGGATATCGCTATGACTTTATTCAAGCTAATCATTTATTGTCATGTGTTATAACTTTCTAACATAACAATATAACTTTATGACATGGTAATGCATGATAGACTTGGGATACTGTCACGGTGACATCTTGGTTACGAAAAAAAATTACTTGTAACGGGAATAACATTATTTTGCTATCTTTTGCTAATAACATAATGACACGTAAAAAAGTTATTTTACATATTATTATGTTATTACCCCGTTATATGAGAGTTTCTGTTATATATAAGTTATTCTCCAGAACATGGGATGCTTCAGATGGTTGCATGATGACAGGCCTCATCACTTTCAGGGCATGGCCAGCCATTGCTTTGGCATGCCACATGTCACCACCATGTCAAGATCCGCAGATGGCGCCACTTCAATGTCGGTCAGAAGATAAAGAGTAAATACTGAGTGAAAAGACTTGACAAAATATTTTTTTTTAAATGTGGCATCCCAGAAACACCAAAAAGAGAGAGTAGGACCATGTCAACGGGAATTAGATGCTTCTCATCTCCTCACATGGACCAAAAACAACATCAACAATGTTAATGCGTATGGTGGGATTAGAAAGACACATTAAAAGTTAAAAAAATGGAAAATTGAAGAAGGAATTAGTACCCCAACAGCCAAAACTATCATTTTTGTTCTGTTCTATGCAATTGATGATGTAGGGCTCACGGGTTAACAAGATCATGGCCACTCATCAGAAGATCGGAAATTTAGCCATGGACAAAAAGTTAAACGAAAAAGGAAACAAGCTTAGTGCTTTTCATTCTTTTCTAGCATTAGAATTTGATCCCACAAATCTAGTACATAAAAAAAATTGAAACTTGCAACACAACTACTATGAAACAAATACTGTAGAGGATGAGCTTGTTAGGTAAATCACCTAATTAACCTAAAGGCGAGAGTGGGAACATCATTGCTCTGTCAAACTGATTTTAGTACTTTTTCTTTCTTTGCCAAGGAACCCCGCACATGTTGGGCATGTAGTTCCATGGTCATAAAGGTGATAACTTAGTTTCTCATTAATTATGACGGGGCACTATAATGGCATAGTACATCAAGGGGTGTCTAGCAAATAAGTTTTTAGGATCACACCATGATCTTGGAGCTAGGAACAGGTAGCTGAGGGAATGAGTAGGACCAAAATTTAAATGGTTTGCCATGCAATGTAGGAGTAAAACTTCCATGTATCATTCCCCTTTTTCCCTGTATCTCACAAGCGACGAGAGAGAGAGAGAGAGAGAGAGAGAGAGAGAAATGCCTGTGAACATGGGATAGTCAAGATTTTTTTTACTTTGCATAGGTCAAATTTGGGTTAAGAAATATACCATGAGGGCCAGTTAGTTTCATTTTCAGGGATTGTTCAGCTCAAAGGGGCACCAGTTTTGGCAGTTTCTCTCTTGTGTCGGCTACTGTTTTATTTTTCTTTATTTTTTTGTATTTGTAAGAAGACAATTCTCATTTTCAGGCTTTATCCACCTTCCTTTAGCTAAAGATTCAGTGCTCCACATTAAGAGAGATGAAGCATCTAGCTTTGGCTCTTTTTTTAGCTATTCTGATCCACCAACAAGGTTTTCCCATCCATGTTGAAGCGGGTGATGGCTTCATCAGAACCAGGGGAGTGCATTTTCTTTTGAATGGCAGCCCATACTATGCAAACGGCTTCAATGGCTACTGGTTGATGTATGTGGCTTCTGACCCATCTCAGAGGTACAAAGTTTCATCTGTTTTTCGTGAAGCAACTAGCCATGGGCTCACAGTGGCTAGAACTTGGGCTTTCAGTGATGGAGGTTACAGGCCTCTTCAATACTCCCCTGGCTCCTACAATGAGCAAATGTTCAAGGTTCCTCTCACACTGTGCTTAATTGTTTGTTTGTTTTTTAAGATCTTTAAATATTGCACTGATGGTGATTTTAGAACCCTTTGTTCAATTCTTATTTTGTTTTGTGTTGGTTTGAAGGGGTTGGATTTTGTTATAGCTGAAGCCAGAAGGTATGGGATTAAGCTGATATTAAGCTTGGTGAACAACTATGAGAGCTTTGGTGGAAGGAAGCAGTATGTGAACTGGGCTAGAAGTCGGGGGCAGTACCTTACATCTGATGATGATTTCTATAGAAACCCTGTTATTAAGGGTTACTACAAGAACCATGTAACTGTAAGTGAAAGTGCATATTATATGATTCTTATCAGATTTTAGTATGTTTATTTATTTATTTTTCAATGATTTCTGTGGAGGAATAACAGTCTATGATGAGCCTTTTCTTTTCAATTATAATTTGAATAAACTTTTTTGCAGACTGTTCTTAGCAGATATAACAGCTATACTAGAGTTCATTACAAAGATGACCCAACAATTATGGCCTGGGAGCTTATCAATGAACCTAGATGCACATCAGATCCTTCAGGAAGGACTGTTCAGGTTAAAAACAAGCTCTTTATCTAATTTCGTCCTGCATATCAATATTCAATATCTGGGAAATTTTTAAGAATCTTCAATTTGCTTTCTTTTTTAGTTTAATCTGTTACTAAACCAAGTTTCCTAGAAAAGTGACAACAAGGCTAGTTCTCTGCCTTAACCAACAGCAGTCTATGAATAAATGGTACAGATGGCAAAATCTTGATGCATAGAGCTAACTAATTACTAATTGCAGCTACCATTTTTTTTTATCTGTTATGCATTGCTCTTTTAGGATGGCTTTTCTTTATATTGCACTCTTTTCATGCCAAATTTTTACTAATTGGTGCTCATAACAGGCTTGGATAATGGAAATGGCTTCTCATGTGAAATCAATAGACAGAAACCACTTGCTGGAAGCTGGTCTAGAAGGATTTTATGGACAAGCGATACCTCAGAGGATGAGACTCAACCCTGGTTTCAATATAGGAACAGACTTTATTGCAAATAATCGAATTCCCGGCATCGATTTTGCAACAGTTCACTCTTATCCTGATCAATGGTAAATATGCTACTTGCAGGATCTCTTCAACTTTCATCACCAAAAAAAAAAGTATATATAAGTAAAAAGACCCAGTGCAGGTTAAAACACTCTCTAATGTCCATTTTCAAATGCATATAACTAGTACTTAATTTCACAAGGCTCAATGTTGTCAATTATAACATAGCTTTACTTAGTTCAGCTTCCTGACTGGTGTCTTTTTACCATGTGTTGCATGAGCAGGTTGTCTAGCTCAAATGATCAAAATCAGCTCTCTTTCATGAACAACTGGCTCAACACCCACATCCAAGATGCACAATACATTCTTCGAAAGCCGGTGTTCATCACAGAATTTGGGAAATCTTGGAAAGATCCTGGTTTCAACACCTACCAAAGAGACTTGCTCTTCAACACTGTGTACTCCAAGATATACTCTTCAGCAAGAAGAGGAGGAGCAGCTGCTGGGGGCCTATTCTGGCAACTTCTCACTGAAGGCATGGACTCGTTTGGTGATGGGTACGATATAGTTCTGAGCCGGAGTCCCTCAACTGCAAATGTAATTGCTCAACAATCTCACAAGCTCTATCAGATCAGGAAGATTTTTGCCAGGATAAGAAATGCTCAGATGTGGAAAAGGGCAAGGGCCATTAGAAGGGCTGAATGGTTGGCTAGAAACAAAGGCAAGCGTATAGGAAATTGATCGAATGCATTACCTTGTGAGGTTGCTGTATGGTTTTACCTCTTAGAGATGATTCAGATGAATGTTTTCTTCGTCCAGGAGGGAAACTTGTGTTACCTAGTATTGTGCTTTTCTTTCCCCTGCATATATTTATGTTATGAAGTGTGAACTGAGTTGTTTAGGCAGAGTTTTCTGGTTTATAAAGTCAAACTTGTTTATTTCTTTCTATCAATCTTGTAATGTTGCTGCAAAATGAAACAGATAACTTATTCTTGGGGAACTTGCTCTTTGTGGGATAAAATCACAAAGCTAAAGGATTGGAGAACTTATATCATAAGCGGTAGACTAGTTTGTAAAATCAAATTGGCAGATATGAGTAAGTATAGTAAAATGTGAACCTCACAAAACCTCTTCACCTGTGGCGTCACTCAAGCCAAATGCATGAACAACATATATTATTGGGTGATGTGAATAGCACGTTCCAATACCATATTAAAATATGAGCATTCAATCCAAAATGAATCGGCAATTGGCGGAGAAATCAAAGATCATTAATGCAAGATTTTCATCTCCAATGGTTATACTCATGAAAAATACTTAACCTCCTTACTCGTAACGATTCATTTCTTCTGACTTACTTGATGTGGCTTCCATTTAAGGCAATTAAACCACAAAACGATCAACATGGTTAGTTTCATCATCAGTGACCAGCATACCATTATAGCAAAAAGAAAAGAAAAATAAACAAACAAAAGGCTTCTATCAATTCTACTTTATAGGCACTGAGATTGGGCTAGCCCACAGTTTGTGGGCTTCAAACCCAGTAGACAAAATAACCGCAAAAAAGAAAACATTTCGCACTTCTAAAACTTGGGCGCCAAATGTTTCGCATGGTCGCTCAGATAACACAGCATTGGTCTTGTGTGCAGGAAAAAAACAGAACATGATTTTATCAATTCGACCTCATATTCGAGGAATATTTACAGTGTCGGCCTTTGCTCACAAAGAATGTAGAAACCTTCTGGTTTCCGAAGCAGAACCAGACCAGCTAGAGCAGAATACCCATTTGGGTAGTCATGTAGATATGCTCGAACTCAACGCTCAACTGAAGCAGCTAGTTAAAGTCGGTAATGTGGTAGAGGCTCGGAAAATGTTCGATAAAATGCCTCAAAGGGATGAGATTTCCTGGACCAATATGATTTCAGGTTATGTTGGTGCCTCTGATGCCTCCGAAGCGTTGGCTTTGTTCTCAAACATGTGGGTTCAACCTGGACTCTGCATGGACCCCTTTGTTCTTAGTGTTGCACTCAAGGCTTGTGGACTTAGTTTGAACTTGTCTTATGGGGAAGTCGTTCATGGGTATTCGATAAAATCGGGTTTTGTGAATTCAGTCTTTGTGGGCAGTGCTCTTCTTGACATGTATATGAAGATTGGTAAGATTGAGCAAGGATGTAGAGTCTTTGACCAAATGCCGATAAGAAATGTGGTATCTTGGACTACCATTATAACCGGGCTTGTTCGTGCCGGTTACAATGTGGAGGGTTTGGAGTATTTTTCTGAAATGTGGAGGTCAAAAGTACAGTATGATGCATATGCGTTTGCTATCTCATTGAAGGCATGTGCTGATTTGGGTGCTTTGAATTATGGTAGAGCGGTTCACACACAAACAATGAAGAAAGGGTTTGATGAGAACTCATTTGTAGCCAACTCTCTTGCTACCATGTACAATAAATGTGGCAAATTAGACTATGGGTTGCAGTTGTTTGCAAAGATGAGGACCCAGGATGTTGTTTCATGGACATCAATCATTACAACATATGTTTGGACAGGTCAAGAGGACCTTGCAATCAAAGCATTTATAAAAATGCAGGAATCCGGTGTGAGTCCTAATGAATACACTTTTGCAGCCGTTATCTCTGGATGTGCCAATCTTGCTAGAGTTGAATGGGGTGAACAATTACATGCCCGCGCTTTACACATGGGTCTTATCGCTTCTTTGTCAGTAGGAAATTCCATTGTAACCATGTATTCCAAATGTGGTCGTTTGGATTCAGCTTCTAACGTGTTTAACGAGATGGGCATAAAAGATATTGTTTCATGGAGCACTGTAATTGCAGGGTATTCTCAAGGAGGTTATGGAGAAGAAGCTTTCCAGTATTTGTCGTGGATGAGAAGGGAAGGACCAAAACCAAATGAGTTTCCTCTTGCTAGTGTATTGAGTGTTTGTGGAAGCATGGCAATGCTTGAGCAAGGGAAGCAATTGCATGCTCATGTCCTGTCTGTTGGTTTAGAGTGTACATCTATGGTACAAAGTGCTCTAGTCAATATGTATTCAAAATGTGGAAGTATAAAAGAAGCTGCAAAAATCTTTGATGTGACAGAACATGATGATATTATTTCATGGACAGCCATGATTAATGGATATGCTGAACATGGGTACTACCAAGAAGCCATTGATCTGTTTGAGAAGATTCCTAGTGCTGGTCTGAAACCAGACTCAGTCACCTTCATTGGCGTTCTTGCTGCTTGTTGCCATGCTGGATTGGTTGATCTTGGTTTCCACTACTTCAATTCGATGAGAACTAACTTTAGGATTAATCCTTCAAAAGAACACTATGGCTGCATGATTGATCTCCTCTGTCGGGCTGGACGGTTAAGTGAGGCAGAACATATGATCAAAAGTATGCCCTTTCACCAGGATGATGTTGTTTGGTCTACTCTGCTTAGAGCATGTAGGCTCCATGGTGATGTTGACTGTGGAAAACGTGCTGCAGAGGAGATTCTTAAATTAGACCCAAATTGTGCGGGGACTCATATAACCCTGGCAAATATGTTTGCTGCCAAAGGCAAGTGGAGGGAAGCAGCAGATGTAAGGAAAATGATGAGATCAAAGGGGGTAGTTAAGGAGCCCGGATGGTCATGGATAAAGGTCAAGGATCGGATTTCTGCATTTGTTGCTGGAGATAGGTCTCATCCACAAGGTGATGATATATACAGTGTGTTGGAATTACTAGCTTCAAAGACAGAAGGCACTATTCAGGAAATGAGGTCTTCATTAATTGATGTTGAAAGTTAGCATTTAGTCGCTTGGAAGGTAAAAAGTTTATTTCTCCAATTTGATGAAGCTAAATCTGAGAGTTGCATATGAAAAGTTCTGAGGAGATGCTTCAAATTCAATACATAAATTACATGCAAAAAGACCAGTTTTTCGTCCATAAGTTTATACTCAACCAAGGATGTGAAACGAAGCTTTATTTAAGATGCATCTACTTATGTGGAGATCCTCTTAAGGCATGGCTGTGGCTCAAGGATAAGCATTACTGAAGACATGCAAATCTGAATCCAGAGTCACATTGAAAGGTCAAGCATTACTGAAGACATGGAAATTTATGAACTGGTCTCTTCCAAGAAAATGCACACGCTTCTGTGGAAGGTTTTGGACTTTTTCACCACCAGAGGACTAATTTATAAGTTATATTCATGAAATAACTGTTTGCTTTGAGTTTTGCATTTTCTCTCAATCATCTAAATGCAATTTTCTTTTTCTTCTTTTGCTGTAAATATTTTTTTACTTATTTTTGGGCAATTTATAACATTTGTAACTGTATAGTTGGAACATGCTCAATACCATGCATATTGATTTCGGTACCGAATAGTGAATTTGCATACATTTCTACTTCTCTGAATGACATTTAACAGAAAAGTGAAACTGAGAAGCATTGGAGGAGATCAATTGTGGTTAGAACTGAAAAAGAGGTGCATCTTACCATTATTATCTATCAATTTTCAGAGTTCACCGTTCATCCCTGAGCCAATTACGAATTACGTATACAACAAATCCCAGGCAAAACCCAGCAGCCCCCAAAGCTATAACTATTCGAATCCATAAAGAGGAAATAAATGCTTTATGCACAAAAGCATTCCATAACAATAACCAAAGAATGGAGAAAATGGTTCCAACTGCAGCACCCACAACCACTTGGCTGAGTGTATGAAGTTTTTGCGAGACTCGTAACCATGACTGCAAAGACAAATCACAAAGATATGCATAAGCAATATATCCTTTCAGTTCTTTTTTCTTCAAATCAACTAAAGAAGTTTGAACACTCAAATATGTAAGCCAAGCTTCAAAGCATCATTTAACTGAAAGCAGAGCAAGATTGAATATGAATACTTACAAGATATATCCCAGTTGCTAAGGTAAAAGCACCGATTGTCAAGGTAATCTCATTTATCCCTAGCCATTCCACAACTGCAATATAGCACACAGGCAACAGAATTAGATAAGAAAATAGAGGTAGCAAATTGATATTTGACTAACACGAACGAGAAATCTACGTCCCAATTCTCATTAGAACCAACAAGAAAGCTGCATGTCAATTGTTCTTGTTGGGTTATGGGAATAGTTTTATTCATTTCCAAAACCTTTCACGATATCAAAGCTGATACAAAGTCATAGCAGAAAATGAGCTAAAGATGATACTCTTCTGCATACAGCATGGTAGACTAATGTGATGCCCACAAAAAGTGTCTATTTTCTCTCAAAAATTTCTGTGACTACAATTTGAAAATTTAAAAGTTCATAGTCTTAGTATTCTCCCCATTAACATTGCTGCACATTAGGGAATGGACCAACAATGTACATCAAGCAAACACTCTACATCAACTTGATTAAAGTAGTTTGCACCAATCAGCATATTTTAAGTTACAAGCATACCTTAAATCTCTCCAAACCAATTTCATTTCAGAAGTGCTCTTAAACTCAAGAGGAATTAAGAGAGATTACCTGACCAAATTGTGAACAAAACAATGTAGAAGATAGATTGTGCATGGGAAGAAGGCATTCCAGGCTCAGATCTCAATGAGGGAACAGGTCTCTCCTGGTTTAGTATCTTTTTGAGTGCTGCAGATAGAATGGTATTTGCAACAGACCCCATAGCAGCCCACATGGCTTCAGCATCATGCCTCCATAGAATCACAACAGCTAAAAGGGCAGACACAATCCACTTGCTCTGTATCCAACAGAAACCAGCCACTAATATCATAAGAACAAATACTAAAAAAAAGAACAAATACAAAGAAAAATCAGAATGTTGATAAAACACAAAACAGGCAGAATGATTGGATTGGAAACCCAGAACTCTCATCATAGAGCGCTTTGAAATGAAACAAACCCTGTAAAACTAAGAGGAAATTAGAAATTACCAACCAGTCGATTGAGTGTAGATTCCCACCCTTTATCCACAATCAAAGGACTCAATTCTGAAGGCCCATCAACATAATCATCACGTTGAAGCACTCCGACGCCTTCATCATCATCATCATCATCAGGGTTCCTAAAAGGTGGCATCTTTATCAGCTCAACCCTGGAGTTGGGGCCCATGGCTCTGCTCCTCCTCCTCCCAGAAACAGCTTTCTTGGGGACTAATAATAACCCGCCAGAGAAAACAAATTTTGAAGTGGGAAATGGTAGAGAAGAAATGGGTTTCAGAGATTTGAATGTGCAAGATCGGCAGGTAAAGAGTTCGAGGTTTGGCTGGTGGAAATTGGTGGCTGCTGCTGCTGATGACATGTTTTATTCAACTGGGATGGAGTGTAAGACTGAAACCCATCGACGGCCATTTCCAAAGTTTAATGTCTATCTTGGATTGGACTAGGAAATGAGTGGCGCATCCATTGCGTTATTTTGCTGAGAAAAATCCAAACATGGACACATTTCTCCCTAGCAACATTTCTGGAAAATTCCAAAGAGGTATCAAATTCTTGTGTGCGGGGTCATCGTCACACCACGTTCTGATTACGATAAATACCGTGCTTATTATTAAACAATAATTTCAAGATTTGATTCCAAAAACAAATCAAAAGTTCAACCAAACGTTTATTTCTTTTAAGAACTTTTATCCACACTAAAAAGGTTCATTGGGGTCAGAAAATGACTTTAACCAAGTATTTTTTTTGGTTGCGTGTTACTTCTTTCAACTTAATTTGAATTAGTATCAAGCTCCGCTCTCGCATAAATATGAGAATGATATATGTAATTTGAATATGATACTTTAATTTTTTTTTCTTTTTCAAACTTGGATGCAAAATGAGGAGCATTTCCGCTCTAACCAACTTAACTAAGCTCATATATGCGAATGACTTGGACTCTTGAAAAAGTAAGATAAGAGCAATTTGGAGTCTTGAGATTTTGTCGTCCATTCTCAAGTCTTTGTTTTCAATTGACAGTCTGAGTTGGAGTCAATTTTGGGATCTTCTTTCTTCTTGTTGAATTGGCTACCATTATTAATAAGTTACAGAAAAATGGAAGAGAATAGTTGACTGCTAAGGCTTTGCAATATTCTTGTAAGTCCATCGTTGTCAGTTCATTTACATTATGCCAAAGTTCCCTTCCCACAATCGTTTTATATTCATGACAATGGCAATATCCCAGTCATCAAGAAGAATGATGAAAATAACTTAAGGTTGTTTTTTTTTCTTTTCTTTTCTTAATTTTATTCGTGGAATATGAGGAATTCAAAATAAGAACCTCTTTCAACGTTCTGAAGAGACATATTACTAAACCGAAAGTTTTAATTGCTAACTTAAAATTAGTTAGTTTTCATATCCGTTTCTTCCACCTCTCTCTCATCAGTTCCTCTAATTTCAGTCATCCCTTCCTTTCTCTCACCTATTTCATCTATATCTATGTTTAAAGCAAGATTACATTACCACTTTCAGAGGCCAAGCCAGAATTTTATTTCATGAAGTGGGCTTAACTTCGGCTGGTACTGGAGCTGGAGTGAGTTGTGGGCTTTAAGTTTAGAAACATACGTAGGAATTTTTCTTCTGTGGGCTGAGCGATCAACATAACCAGAACAGCAGCGAAGTGACCAAAAGTAAAAACCAGAAGAACAGCGAGGCCCGTGAACAGGTGAATGAAATCCAACTACTGTTAATATGAAGGTCCACATTTATATATGACACCTTCACCATGACTCTGTTAATATATTAGTGTTCATAATTCGTATGGATAATTTTGGACCGGCAAGGGAAAAATGAAGAACAAGCCCATGTACGTCTCTTTTCTAGATGACGACGCTTTTTTGAAATATATTAATTAACGGGGAATAAGATATTCGAACTTGAAACATCTTTTAACGTTAACAGAAAAAAAATATTGTTGGGCTAAGAGTTAGTTGATATGTGACGGTGGACTCGATTTTAAAGATTAAGCACACAACACTTTCAAAAGATTAGTCGTTCCTCTTTGTAAAACAGAAAAAGGCGGTCAAATATATGTCATGTTTGTGTGGAGCTTACTAAGGACCACATCATCCACACACAATAAAGCCAAACTAAAATTGAATACAAGACTTCAACTGAAAGGTGAAGGAACTGTCTGTAGCAGCCTTTACATATATTCTCTTCATCTTTACAGCCAAGAAAGTCCCATTATCATCAACAAAAAGCTTCGGCTTTTATATCAAAAATCACTTTCAAAATAATTATGTTGCAAACTCTGCCAACAATGGAACTCTCTCACAGACACTGACTGCATGCAGATTCCGGAGAAGCAAATTTTCCACCACTAAAAGCTCCTTTATCTGCTTTTGTTTACTCCATCCAAATGCTTTATGGATAATATTAGATATGTAGCCTCAAGGATCAATCCAAGAGTAATAATAATAGCAGAGCAGGACAAAGCCAAATTGCAGAATTTATGGAACAAATGGAGCCCATGTAATTTAAATTGTTTTCTTTGGTTGGTGATGGATAATTTTGCAGATTCTTTCATCTCCTAGAAAATGCTGTTGAATTCTAAATCGTAAGGAACAAGCCCTAGATCTTTTTTCCGCACAACCTGAATGGGAAGTGAAGTATAAAAAATTATCATGAATTATATAATATTACGTGCTCCGTTACGTTACGAATTCATTCAAATTATAACACGGATATATTAATTATCGTATGCAAGTTGTAATATGAGTGAACTGTCGACTGAAGACTGAGCCAAAATGTGTTATAACATCAGTATCAGTCAACCCATAACATGTGAAAACTAAAGGAGTCAAAAAGTGAAACATGCGTGGTAGAAGACTAGCTCTGAAAGCTATAGCTTTAATGTTGTGGACTGGGTGGGTGGTGAGTGTTTTGGGTGGGGCATTGCCACGCGTAGGAAGCAGGTTAAACGGCGTGGAGAAGGAGATGGTGAAGCCAGGGCCTGAACGGGACTGGACTGGACTGGACTGGAGGCAGGCATCCATCACTCTGTCAATAAAACTGGCTGCTTATTTTCAATCGGCACAAAGGAAAAGAAAGCTTCAAGGACAAAAGAGAAGACTGAGGACTGAATATGCAACCCTAGGAGGAAGACTTTCATGAAACGGGAGTAGTACTAGTTTGCTATTTATGACTAATAAAGTTATGACACGTATGATAACACTTCTATATAAGGGTGGCATGGTATTATTAGCCGAGAACAGTAAAATAATGTTATCCCGATAAATAACCTTAGACAGTATAATTTTCTATATTATATATAATATTTTATCAATTCATCATTAATTCATTCTGGTCCCTATGAACCCGTATCCATTCCAAATGATCCCATGCAAGAAAGAAGAAACTCAACCCAGTCAACCAAACTCATTAGAAATTATTTCATTTCAAAATTTGTTTTCAAATATTATTATTTATTTATATTTGTAGATTCATTAATTGTTTGACTAGCAGGTTGCCCAATGACCAGCCCTCTGATTGAGCTTATTTCTGAATTAAATTTGTCTCGGGAAATAAATTTAAGGTCGCGTGTCTGTCAAAGCACCCTATCTAGCTCTCTGCACTCTCTGCAATCTCAGTAAGAAAGGACCAGCAGCCGATCATCAGAGATCGTTTCCTTTCCTGACTAAATTTTCCTGAAAAAGAGAAGAAAATTCAAAGTAAATATTTTTATTTTTGGGTTGTTTCTGGGCTAGATGGATTACTACTTACACGCTGAAAAAAAAAAATATTAAAAGTTAATTAAATGGACGTACAATGAGTTTCAGGTGATAACATTTTAATGCACGCATAGCCCTGCCATGCACTGTGCACGAACTTGATTCACTGAGGCAGTATGCACCGTAGTTTGTGCACATAAAGTAGTTTTGTCCCCTATCCCTAACCATACATAGTACGGTACATATATCATTTTCGGAAACCCTACTTATATGGTGGAAAAAACTTGGCTCTTTAAAGTTGGGGAGTTATATTGTATAAATGTTTCGATAGACGGATGCGATAATCTATCTGTCGGATCAAAGAATTTCTCCGACTGATGACGCTATTCTTCTATTTGATTAATTATCATGTGTTTTAAATCAGAAAACGGGAAACAATTAGAAAAAAATGGAAGGACGAATTGCTGAGGAGGTTTGGACCAAGTCTTGGGGGAAGTAAAAGAAAAGAAAGGTGAATGATGATTTAGACCAAGCAAATGAAAGTATAGAGGGGGCTATGTACAGTTGAATTTGAATTGGTACGCACCGCAGCACATGAGGAATATGTTGGGTCGAACCAACAGCCAGAGCACACGAGGCGCGCAGGGACGGAATCCTCTATTGAAACAGACCACCTCACATGACATAAAGACCACATCTTGTCATCGTTTCAGAAAAAATTCGGACACATATTTCACTCATTACCCCCCAAACCGCAATACGATGCTTAAGAAACTAAGGCCTGTGTTTATGCATGGAGGTGGAAAAAATAGAATGAAACATCGAGTTACAAAAGAAACTTAGGTTTGTGTTTGAGTTAAAATGTCAATTTTAGGTTTGGGTTTATGTTATCGCGATTTATATACAGTCAAGTATCGATTTAAGAAACGATGCAAGTCTAAGATGGATTTAAATCATGAGCTTTAACAAACTTGAATCTCAAATTAATATAATTATACTAAAGGATTTATACGAATATGGTACTAATAACTTTGGAAGTAACCATGTTTAACATCTTTAAGCAAAAACCAAATCATAGTTGGAAAAATGATTTGAAAAGATAAACCCGATCATGCGTAGAAATGACCTCTAGAAAGTTGTTTTAGCTAGTTCATGCTCTATATTTTAAGAAATATTTATGCTCGCTATTTTAGCTTAATGTGTATTCTTACTATTCTTTTTAATTCTTGACACGTGTTTATATGCATAATCATGATTAACTTTTTACTTTATATTCATGAAACAATGTGATTCATATGTACACATATCAAGTGTGAAAATAGACCCCGAGTTAAAGTGGAGAGCTAAAAAATGCTCAACTATATTTTAAATAGTAAAAAATTCTTCATATATATTTCTCCCTCCATAAAATATAAAGTATTGTATAAGTAGTCACTATAGCAATTTCTCTCTCCTCAAATTTGTTGTATAGTGAGAGAAAGATAGACGAGTATTATTGGAGCACCATTTTTTTAAAATTTAAAATTTTCTATATTTAATCTTTTCTTGTAATGAAAAAAATTTAAAAGGAAAAAACAACCATTAAATAAAGCCAAAGGATTTTTGGGAGAGTCTATAAAAGGCAAAAGCATGGTCGTGACAAACTGACAAGTGCTTCACTTCGTTCAATTCTTCCTCCGTTTCATTTCCTCTGCAAACATTTTCCCCTAAGTTTTTTTTTCCTTTCCCTCTAAACTTTCCCGGAAAATCAATCAACCAATGCCATAATAAAAAATTTCAATTTTATCTCACCGTTAATAATTAATTAATTGCACCTTCAGCATCCGCCGATCGCTTTCGTTTCTCTATCTCTCTGCGGAAATGGAGGCGTGGGATTTCCACGACGTGAAAGCAGAGAAAGCGAGCGCGATGCGAAGGTACAATCGCATCCGGAGCGTTGCGAAACTCTTTCGCTTCGCCGAGCTCGGCGCCGGCGTTGTCTTCGTCTCCTGGACCTTCTCTCGTCTCCCCATCGCACTCACTCTCTCGCGTGACTACTTCCGCCTCCTCTTCGGCGTCGTTTCGAGCCCGCTCTTCGTCTTCTTCCTCTGCCACGTCATCATCGCATCTCTCGTCCTCAAGTCTCGCCACGTCGCCTCGGCTCATAACAAAGACGGCGCCGTCGAAGCCAAGCTCTGCGAGGAGCTCATCGAAAACGGCGGTGGAGGTGGCGGCAGCGGCAGCAGTTCGAAGTCTCAGTTTGGAGACGACGTCATTTCGGGCGTGAGGGAGGAGGAGGAGGTTGTGTATCAGGACAAGCAGATCGTTTCCGAGGTGAACTCGGCCGATCCGAAAGCGGACACTGACTCGGCCTCGGACTCGGAATCGGAGTTTCCGAAGATTATTCGGAGAACGAGGTCGGAGAAGTTCGAGAGAGAGCCGAAAACGGAGAAGCTAAGGCGATCGGAGACCGAGATTGGCCGGAAAATCATCAGTGCAGGCGAGGATTATCCGCCGGAAAATATGGAGGCGGAGGACAACCTGAGTAACGAGGAGTTTCAGCGCACCATAGAAGCCTTCATAGAGAAGCAGTTGAAGTTTCGTCACCAGGAGTCTCTGGCCATATGTTCTACCAAACAAGAGCTAATTGAAAAAAAAAAAAAAAAAAAAAAAAAAAAAAAAAAAAAAAAAGAGGAGAGAAAGACAATTAAAATGTGGGTTAATTGGATGTAAGCCACGACACGGCTACCTGATGCTATGTACAGTAATTTATGGTAAAAATATTGGGTTTAAATAATCTTACTACAATCCATTTTGCTGAACTAGTTTGTTTCGCGTTTTTCTAATGCGATGATATGTAAAATAATTTTTTCACCAGTCGTTAGTTGGAGATAGCAAAACAATATTATTTTCGTTACATATATGTTTTTTTAGTTGGATTGAGACTGTTTTGCTATCCATGTTACATGTATGTTCTTTTGATTGGATTGAGATGAGTCTGACGATGCAAGGAATTTGTTAATTAGGGATTTGATTCTGAAAATCTGAACATTATGCTTCTGCACCAAGTGGACTACATAATTGAGGAAAGGAACCAATATATTATACACTGTGATATGATATGTATTATTTGGTATTTTTCTGGTATAATTAAATGGTGGAAAAATAGAGCCCAGGAATCGCATTGAATTCCAACTTCCATAAAAAGAGTTGTATGCGTGTAAATATGCTTTTGTTACCTTTGATTGATACATGCAATTATAGAAAATTCAGTATTTTACTGGGAAAGAAGCCACTACGTTTGAAGTTCTTTTTCTTTTATTTTTATAAATAAATAATATTTGAAAATTCTCACTTGTTCAAACATTATGGTGGTTAATTAATAAAAATAAAAATTATGGTGGCTAAAGTTAAAACCATCAATTCAGCAAAAATTATAATGACGTAGCAATGGTTTGGCTAGTTTGTTAGAACAGTGAGCTCGCCCCCTTGCATTCAAATTCGAATCCTCATTTTCGTGATTTATATTAATTTAAAGTAGTATAGAATATTATTTGTATATATATATATAATCCTCATTACCACCAAGTGGCTTTTCAATCCGCAGCTAATACGTAACAAAGTTTGATTGTTGACAAGAAACACTAATTTTCAGAAAGAAAAAAAGTTCAATAGTTGATTCTAGTAGGTATGTAATATGGTGTATAATTGATAATGTAATGATCACTCGCACCATTAAGCATTGCCCCACCCACCCAAGCAAATCATATTATTATTATTTTTAGAATGATCATATTCTTATTTACTGTTAAGTAACACAATTATATAGTGGATAAAACAGCAACAACCGCAAATGATCCATTAATATAGTGGTTAGGAGCAATTGCTTCTCCATAAAAGATTATATGTTTGAATCATAGCATTCGTATACTGTTTGTAACATTAGTATATTATTACCCCAATGAAAACAACACCGGCCAATCATCATGAAGTTATATGGCAATAATTTTCCAACCAAAGTGTACTTTAACTACACCTGTGATCTCCAGACGGAAAGTCACTTCTACCTTTTTTTTATCGACAGAGATTTTATTCTTTTTAGTGAAGTGATTTTCGATTTCAACCTTACTTTCTTTCTTTTATGCATAAAAAATAAAACCCACATACCCGAATGAGCCTTTAAAAAAATAAAATAAAATAAAATTACAACTTATGTTTCTATCACAGTAAAAATTATTTGCCAACCAGTTTATTTTTATGTTTAATTGATTAGATAGAGGGGGAAATTGTAAGTGGCAGGTGCCAACAATGAATGCACATTTGATATATTAAGGGATTAATCAGAATGTAAAAAAAAGTTGAGAATTCTTTCAAAAGAAGTGCTTATTAGGAGAAAATTGAGAACCACACAATTATTTCCCACAAGTTGATGAAGACCTTCATTCATTCATTATCACAATCTCGAGCCGAAAGGAACTTCATATGGATTTTTGATGCTTCTCTAGAACTTCATCATGATTAAGACTATTTTCAAAGTACTCTAAGGTATATTAGCCTTTGTTCCCTAAAGCAATAAGTTTAATATAATCATAGTTAGCCTTATGTCAATCAAAATTAATATTTGACTGGTTTAATTATCCTCTCTTTTTATGTTAATACATGATATATGCATTGCCTGCATTTGAGGTCCCAGTCCCACTCACCTGGAAAAGTAATTTAAACCCATCTAAATCTATATTCTCCAAACCACTTGTTTCATGAAATATTATTATTATTATTATTATTATTATTATTATTATTATTATTTAGGTAAAGAAGGATTAAATTATATGTAATTAGTCTATCAGAACAAATTTATGTTCAAAACTTTAGATACTTTGTCTACAAGCATGACAAGATCTAATTGATGTCATAATATTGTTCCTAATAAGCAATTTTTTTTAGTACAAATGATTAGGAAACGGGGTTTATACAAATATTCATTAGATGCCAAGGTTTCGAATAAGGATAACTCAGTTGTTCATGACAATATATCAACCATAAAAGAAGGGCATCAATTCCCTTTCAAGTCATCAGACAGCACCTATTTCCAAATATTCTGCCACAATTCTATCTCCAATTCTGCTAATAAAATCCACTCCCCATTGCTGGTTTGGATATTAGAACTGCTTCATGGCTTAATAATAATAATAATCTGCTTTATCACTGAATCAGATTCCAGCATAGAACCATACCATTCCATCACATGATTGATAGCCTTCTGCAGAATTTAAATCATCCCCAAAACTGGTTTACCCTTTTACTCTATAGTTTTTACTTAACCTCTCCTATTCACAGACCAATAATTAATGGGAAAAGCTATAGCCAGACACATGTGATATATTATGCTATATGTGAACCACCAAACCATCAAACCATCACAGGTTTCTATTGACCAAAAAAACAAAGGGAGACTTTGGAAAAACCCAAAGGAGAGAGAAATTTTGTAAAAGAAGCCAAAATGGACAAAATTGCCCTTATTTATTTTTTGATTTTTGATTTCTTAAGGAATCCTTTACATTTGCATGTCTTTGATTTTAAAGTTGATAAGTTTTTCTGTCTTTTTTGAAAAAGCTTTTGCTTTTTCCAAAAGTGAAATTCTTTTTATGGCTAAAACCTAAATTTACTAAAAAGAGAAAACCATCACAGATCATCATCTTCCTGTGGAAAGCTTGGAGATGTGTCTCTGCATCAAACACATTGCATTTCCCAATGCAACTCCTGTGATGAGTTGACTTGACAAGATGTGAATCAAAACATAGATCAATAAAAAATAAACGAGAAAAGATTAGGTGTCATTTGTCCAATGCAAACGTGTCTAGCAGAGATTATGAGCTCAAAATAACCCAAGAGAGGGGTCCCCTGAGACAAGAAAAGAAATGGTGACAAGAGATTGAAAAAATTATAATTAGCATGGGGCAGACTAAAATTATAATTAGCCGGACCTGAAATGGTTAAATTTAAATTGGAAATGGGGCATTTTTATTATTCGAAGATAGCTCATCAGAAGTGGAAATTCAGTTAGCATCATCTCTTGATTGGAGTAATCAATCATATTATTCGTTTGTACCTTAACATGCGAATTAATAACATTACGTGAATGAACCGTCTTTTATTATTTTTGTAAAGAAGCGATTGCTTGAAAAGGAAATTGGGATTTGGGAATATTTGAGGGAATGCAATATGATGGGCAATCATATCATATCACATACAGGTAGGTGGTATAGGGGAACTTTTGGTAAAGATAAGTTAGCTTGGTTGGGTTCTGAAATTGACAACCTTGTCTCATGTATGGTTTAGCTAAGTGCTGTATAGGGGACCATATCGGTCTGTTGCCTTCTCTTTTTAAATAATTGCATGTCATCATCTCTTGCAAAGCCTGATTTTCTTGTTTGTGAAGAACCCTTTTTGTCAATTCTTACACTTTTGCTTTTTAAATTTAAGAAGATGAGAACAAAGTACATAAATCAACATTGCTTTGTACGTTATATATATCATCACAGTTTAGAACTAGCGACTAGCCTTGACACTGCTGATCTGATCGGATCCCTTCATAGCTTTCAGAAGAAAAATGTTTTGGGTTTATGAGAGAGAAGGATGAAACAGATTACAAGAAAAAAATGGCTACAAAGTGAAAAAAAATAAAATTGTTGGGGAAATTATAAGTTATATGAAGGTACACACATATGTGAGAGTATCTCCAACCGATGTGTCAAAGCTGATGTGGAATGAAGGCTCGAGGTTGAGATGTTATTTTTGACATTCCAAAAGTAAGATGTCAAATGAATATTTTATTCTTTTTAAAAGATAGTTGGCTGTTACTTTCATTTATTTTTTTTCATTTTTTCATTTTTTATTCTTTATCTTAAATGATTTAATTGTTACAATAATTATTTATTTGACATATTGGGTGGAGTGTAAAACTGTGTAAATGTCAAATTGCCACATCAGCCCTCAAATTTAAGTGACATCTTCATTGGAGATGCTCTCAGCGGTGAATATAAATCAAGCCAATTCAACTCAATTAAAATTAGGTTGGATTAGTAGTTACGAATATTTACACATGTACCTGAGATTCAATTTTTCTGTTTTCCAATATTTCTTGTGTTTAAAATAAAATAAAATAAAAAAGGAAGAAGCTAGGTTGTCAATTTCATTTTTAACTTTGAGGTCAATTTTGACAAATAGAAAAACAGAGACTAAAATGAAGAAGAAAAAAAAAGAGAAAGACCTTAATAGGTCCAATTAAAGGAACCCACTTGACTACTCGAGCCCAAAATGACTACTGGAGCTCAATAGGCTTTATTTTCTTTTTCCTCTTCTTCTTCTTCTTTTCTTGGGCCAATAGCTGGAGCGTGATATCACTATTACGTTAAAAAAATGTAAACTTCTTTTCTTGGGCCAATAGCTGGAGCGTGATATCACTATTACGTTAAAAAAATGTAAACTTGGGAAAACACGGTGGCTAATTTGGAAATTTGTTTCTCAATCAAATTGTATTTTCATGTAAAACTCAGTTACCAAAAAGGTATTTAACCCAAACATAAAATAAATTGTATTCAAAGCAATATCACTACCTTTTTCAAATAAAAGCCATATCACTAATGCACTCCTCTCCTTCATCCTCTCTGTTGGATAATAATACTTCACAGATTATTTCTTTTTCCTTTTTTTGGGGGGTGATTTCTGACTAT